ATTGAAACCAAAGTACACATGTACATGATGTGCATTTTTGCAAAACTTGAAGTTGAGTTCTGCAGATATCAGCATGATAATTTGATAGAAAAATAAAGTAAGTTTCGTAAAAAATAGTTTCGTAAATAATCTGTTCTGAACACACATAAATGGAATGGAAAATTAAATTTTGATACGTTTTTATTTTCGTTTTAATATTTTTTTTTTTAATTTGTTTGAATTGTAAAGATTCAATAATTGGCAGAATGCTGCAAAATGTAATAGCAAATTAAAAATACTACAAAATGTAAAAAATCCATTGAAAAATGTCACCATAATTTTAAAAAATTGAATAATTGGACTTAAATTTGTATTGACAATTCTGTCACAGGAAATTGTACCCATTACGAACTCGAAGTACAAATTTCGGCAAAAAAAAGTGACACAAATCATCAAAATACCGAATATCTTGAGGTACAGATAGGCGTTACAAACGGAATGACAAACTTAATATATCTTTCATACCATGGTGGAGGTTATAAAAATGGAAATAGATGCACTTTACTTCTGTATTGAACCTTGTTTTTACCTGCAAGAATCTAATAGTTCTGACATTTTTCGATATTTTCGAGCAAGTTGAGTTTTTTAACCTAGTTAAGGGAAATAATTATTTTTGGGTTATTTGACCCGAAAGTTCGAATACAACATCCGGTTTTTATCCGGTTCTACAAAATGGGTATCATTTGAAAGCTTGTGGAACCGGTTCCGGAGTAATCCAAGAAAATTGGTATTTTTATGTCATTCCTTTAAAAAACAAGTTAAAAAGCAGTAAGTTCGGCCGGGCCGAACTTTTAATACCCTCCACCATTTGCAACAAATTTGGAAATTTTCAAAAAATAAAATACTTAAAAAATTCTATTAAAATTTTAAAAATACCGAATATAGCCGTTATATTGGGGTCTATACGACGTGGACATTCATATGCATTGTTTGTCATAAGCCATTGCCATATTCAAATTCGAAACTGGACCCGCACCGACAATATCAAATTTTAAACAATTCCGGTTAATAATGTTGCTAAAATCATCAAAATACCGAACATAGCGAGGTGCCGTTATATGGGGCTATACGAAGACGTGGACCTGCACAGACAATTTTCAGTCTTAGGGTGTAGTATCCATTTGGAACTTCAAACACCAAATTTGAAACAATTCCAGTGAATAATGTCGCTGAAATCATCAAAATACCGAATATAGAGAGGTACCGTTATATTGGGGCTATACGAAGACGTGGACCTGCAAAGACAATTTTCTGTCTTAGGGTGTAGTATCCATTTGGAACTTCAAATACCAGATTTGAAACAATTCCCGTGAATAACGTCGCTAAAATCATCAAAATACCGAATATCGGGAGGTACCGTTATATGGGGGCATAGACTTGCACAGTCAATTTTCTATCTTAGGGTGTAGTATCCATTTGGAACTTCAAATACCAAATTTGAAACAATTCCGGTGAATAACGTCGCTAAAATCATCAAAATACCGAATATAGGGGGGTTACCGTTATATGGGAGCTATATGTAAACATGGCCCATTTACGAACTTACTGGAAAAATAAACATGTGCGCAAAATTTTAGCCATCTAGCTCAATTCATTCGAAAGATAGCTTGATTACAACAGAGAGACAGACGGACAGACGGACATCGCTAAATCGACTTAGAATTTTACGCTGATCAAGAATATATATACTTTGTTGGGTCTGACATGAGTATTTCGAGGAGTTACAAACGGAATGACAAAGTTAATATACCCTCCATAGTATGGTGGAGGGTATAAAAAAACCCTAAAAAGAAGAAAATGGTCTTCGGCCAGGGATTAAGATTTTCTCCCCTGGCGTATGTCTAACACCGGCTACGCGATCCGTAGTTTTTCTAAACATTGTAATTTTTGTAACTAGCAGGCCTTCGCCCGAGGCTTTAGTTTTTCTCCGCTGGGATATGCCTCACACCGGCTACACGATCCACAGTTTGTCTAAACTTTATAACCTTTGGAAGTAAACGGAATTCGACTTTAAAGTCAATACATTCGGAACTACAAAGCTATAATGGTTAGATATATATTAGTAGAGAAAACCTCAATTTCATGAATTGCAACACCAATATCTTCGGAACTACTAGAGATAATATGGCACCATTTTGGAAAGGCCAGAGTGTATGCTACAACGTATTGTGCTTTTTTCTATGGCTTTTCCCGGTACAAAAATACCAATTTTCTTGTATTACTAGAGAACCGATTAAAACCAACCGATCATATGACCACTTGTTAGATAGGTGTTTCTCTAAGCTTTCAAATGATAACCATTTTGTAAAAGGTTAAAAGGATGTAAACTTCAGGTCAATCTGAGCATAGCCCCTAAACTCAACTTAAACAAATTGTTTTCATTTATTTGATATTATTTGTTTATTTTTTAAAATGGTATTATTTGATTTATTTGTTTATTTTTTAAAAATAGTGCGAAAGAGGAATGAAATACCTCTAAAAAAAATATGATCCTAAGTGTTCAATCTTTCAATTCCAATGCAAATCTGCTTAATATCGCCCCGCAATTTTAGTTTCTTCCAATAATTGATTTTGAAAATATATAGTTTTTATTTTTCAAAACAACAAATACATACACAAAATTGGCAAAAGTCGGGCACACTTAGAAAAAAATTCTACCTTACCTCTTCATTTACCATAGGTGATCGTAGTATTCTTGTAGTTCTGGAACAGAGCAATTGAAATATATTGAAAATTCCAACATTGTGTAAAAAGTGGAAATCATGAATGAAAAGTATGTATTTTTTTAAAGAAAAACATATTTTGAATTTATGATGTTATTTGCTGCGTCTATTTTTATTAATTTTATATGTTCATTGGTTCAAATTGTAATAAAACGAGGAAATAAAGTAAGAATTTATAAATCATGTTACTACATTTCATGACCGTTTGAACGGGTTCGCTCGTGTACGTAATTCTGAGAGCGAACAACGTTGTTCTAATTCTAATGGAAACATGCTATTAGGTAGACCTTTAACCATGGTAGAAGAAATATATATGTAGATGCATCAACGCTTGCGAACATTGATATGTCAAAATGTTAAAATTGTTTTGTCAAAAATAAGTAGACAATTTTGGAACAACTCTAGTTTAGTAAAAACTCTTAGATTTTTTCGAAATTTTTTCCAGAGGTAGGTATTTTTACCCTGATCCCGGGAAACTATTTTTTTCTTGGGGGACGGACCCGGGACCCCAGATTTTTGACCCGAAAGTCCGGGATCAAGACCCCGCCTGGACCTGGATCCACTTACCCGATATAGACAATATGGGTATCGATTGAAAGCTTATGGAAATACCTATCCAACAAGTGGTCACATGAAGGGGTAAGTTGGCTCGGAAGTTATAGTCAAATTATCGATTTTTTGGACCCGGATTTTTTATGAAACCCCCAAAAAGTCAAAAAAGGGCCCATTATGGGGGTCAACAAAATTGTTTCCAAATTATAGCTGACACTCTGACCTTTCCAAAATGCTACAATTTGTGCTAATACCTTTTTCGGGTCCAGAGATATGGGTCTTTCCATCCGCATAACGCGATTCTAACCAGTTCATTAAAATGATGTTTTCAATAAAAAAAAGTGTTTATTTCGCGTAGCAGTCGTCGGAATAGCAAAAGTTTTCGAAATTTGGAACTTTTTGTAAATAGCCGGCCTTCGGCCGGGGCTTGAGATTTTCACCTATGGGTATGTCCGACACCGGCTAACGCGAACAAAAGGTTCATAATTTCGGCACTTTTTGTAAATAGCCGGCCTTCGGCCGGGGCTTGAGATTTTCTCCTCTGGGTATGTCCTACACCGGCTAACGCGAACCAAAGTTTTCTAAATTGGATACCTTTTGTAAGTAGCCGGCCTTCGGCCGGGGCTTGAGATTTTCTCCTCTGGGTATGTCCTACACCGGCTAACGCGCACCAAAGATTTCTATATTTTACACTTTTTGTAAATAGCCGGCCTTCGGCCGGAACTTGAGATTTTCTCCTCTGGATATGTCCCACACCGGCTAACGCGAACCAAAGTTTTCTAAATTTGACACTTTTTGTAAATAGCCGGCCTTCGGCCGGGGCTTGAGATTTTCTCCTCTGGGTATGTCCCACACCGGCTAACGCGAACCAAAGTTTTCTAAATTGGATACCTTTTGTAAGTAGCCGGCCTTCGGCCGGGGCTTGAGATTTTCTCCTCTGGGTATGTCCTACACCGGCTAACGAGAACCAAAGATTTCTGAACTTCATGCTTACGCAAAATATACCTTTTTTATTGAAAACATAGTTTTAATGAAGTGGTTAGAATCGGGTTATGCGGATGGAAAGACCCATATCTCAGGACTCAGTAAAGTTATTAGCACAAATTGTAGCATTTTGGAAAGGTAGAAGTGTCAGCTATAATTTGGCATCAATTTTGTTGTCCCCCATAATGGACCCTTTTTTGACTTTTTGGGGGTTTTATAAAAAATCCGGGTCCAAAAAATCGATAATTTGACTATAACTTCCGAACCGTAACATCTTACATCATGTGACCACTTGTCGGATAGGTATTTTCATAAGCTTTCCAACGATACCCACATTGTCTATATCGGGTAGGTGGATCCGGGTCTAGTCGGGGTCTTGAACCCGGACTTTCGGGTCAAAAATCTGGGGTCCCAGGTTCGTCCCCCAAGAAAAAAATAGTTTCCCGAGATCATGGTTAAAATACCTACCACTGAAAAAAATTTCGAAAAAATTGAAGAGTTTTTACTAAACTAGAGTTAAGCCACAATTTTTACAAATTTTAATAATTTTCAATTTTAAATTCGGTTTGACAGTTCATTGTCCCAGCAGCTGTGTCGAAGCGACTACCATGCCTTTTACAAATTACTTATACGACTACCCGTATAATCTGCTTTGGGCTGTGTATTCGAACGTCGATTTTTACTCGATTACCGATAAATCGTCAAACTACTTGTTTACCTCTAGTGTGTGTGTTAAACGTCGTCGGTGAAAATGAATTTCGCGCAATCATTCATACTCAGTTATGTCTTTTTTCTACATGTAAACAACATTTGTTGTGAACATGGAGAGGATTCATGGCTGGAGCCGGATGCTTGGACTTTGGAGCAATTAAATGATGTATCTAGCTGCAAGTGTCAATTGGATTCCTCCGATGCCTCACAAATTCATCCGATTCCTGAAAAAGTATCAACTGATGAGGTAGCCTTTGTGTATTTTAAGAAATTAATTTCTGTTCTTTTCGACCGCAAGCACTTAATGGTGAGTTTAATTCACACATGAACATTGAGTATGACATCATGGAGTGAATCCGAACATCTGTATTTCCTATAGAGATTTAGACGCGTTTGTTTTTCAAATACAAGTCTTATCCAAATATGGAGCGTACTATTCATAGATCATAAAAGCGTTGGATTTTTGTATATATGACGTAGTCATTTTTAACGAGATGAATGTTTGTAGACCCAAGGCACCCATTTTAATAAGAGCCCTAAGGATAACTTATACCTATTCTATGGTATAAAAGGACCCGAATTGCGTCTCTTTTTTTTAGCTATAACATCCCATTAGCGTCGTTGAATTTAAAGTTGTGTAGGCCTGTCTTTTAGGAATTTTACAACGTTTGGCTACATTGATCATCCCCTACTTATGCGTTAAAAAGGGGGATTACCTTTTCTTTGTTATTGTGTGTATAAGTTGTAGTAGAAATACATTTTTGCATTTGGCAATAATACAACAGTAATACCAATTTGCAGCAGAGACGGCAATTAAATTAATCTAAACAAGATACAAAAGAACGAGATCCTTATTTGGTTGAGATGGGGTCTCAATTGGGATACATGATCAAAATACGAGGTTCACTGAGCAAGGATGTTATTTTAAATACAGCTCTTTTTATTTACTCCGAGTTCAAGGTCTATATAATGCATAATAATGATTTCGAATCCAGGTTTCAAAAGCGAGCAAATTTACATGATGTAACATCAAAAGGAGAGTCGGCCAGTGCAGATTCAGTAGCTTTCGAAAAGTTTAATCTTTAGCAGAAAGACATAAATGAAACAGATCTTTGCGCAAAACATTGAATAACCACAACCCTCTATAGAGATTGACCTATTTACGTCAATATCCTGGATATATACCAAAAAATCCAAGGGCAATGACTGGCGCTCTGAAAAAAGGCTTAAATGACCGCAACCCTCTATAGAGATTGAGCTATTTACGACGAACTACCCCGCAAATTCTTGATTCAAGAGATAAAAACCGTAAATTTTCTATGAAACACTTCTGGAAGAACTACAAACAAAAAAGTCCCTAGGCAAAAGTCCTTAGGGTGTATAAAAAACTTGACTTGAAAATGAACTTTTAGTTTTGTCTGACAAATTTCTTCATTTCATTCAACATTTTAATTTTATAATGCAAATTCCAAAAATATGAATTTCTAAACATAAATTAATAGATTAAAATTATGTTTTGTTAAGTTTGTCTTGCAAGAATCTACTATTTTTGCGGTTTTCTTCGATATCATGGTTGGCGTAGTAAAAACTTTTACATTCTTGCAGTTCTGGAACAGATTATCAATAAACTCTTTAGAGAAAGAAAAGATCATATAAATCCAATTTCCGTTTTTATTTTGCAAGTGTTTTTCAATGTCACTTTCTAACTTATTAAAAAAAATGACTGTGTCAATGAATCAAATAAAAACAATTCCATGACATCTAGCTTAATATATGTTCTCGTAAATAACGTGTAAGATTTTTTATTCTAAAAATAGTAAAACAGGAACAAATCATACAATTGAACAGGTTTACCTTTTTATGTTGTTTTATGCGCTAATCTGTTCGATTTGTTACAGTTTGACGCCTCACTTCAGAGATATGAGAGGTCGATGTCATTTTCACTTCAATTGTCTCAATTGGAAAAATTGGAACGCTTACAAGATCCGAGGGATTTGGACAACGTCCTAATGGAAATATTTGAAAATACTAGGCACGTGCCAAATTCGTTCAATCAGTGCGCCTCTCCTACTTCTGAAGCAGCCGGTTTTGTTGAATTGATTGCTGATATCTTAAGGGATGTGTGGCACCTCACACAAACGTCAGAAGTAAGTGTTTGTTTTTATTACAATTGTTACAGCGCGTCTTTCTTTCTTTTGTTAGAGTAGCTAGACTAATAAAGTTACATACAAATGTATCTCACGCATTACGAAATTTACATTTGCTTGCTATGTTGTCAGATTCGTTTTCTCCTAATTGTTTTAATTGTGGTTTTGTGTGGATGGCTTTTGAACAAACGTTTTCGAATTGGTTTATTGGCACTGCTTGGTGGAGGCCTGTTTGTGTTTGGATATTTGCACACGTACTTGGAGTGCAATAGGGTAAGAAGATGCATAGAAATGGTAATATTGAATGTAATTTTTTTGAGTTCAATTTTTATACTTTCAGGAGTTAGAAGTTAATGAAATGCTCGAAGTGTTGAATCGAAATAAGCTATCGCAGGGCGAAGAAGAAAAGTCGCATTTTTTTGAATATATTAAAGGTTTTCTTCCATTTTCAAAGTCAGAAAGTATTGACAACAAAGATCTTTTGAGGTAAGGGTCAAAGTTGAAGTTCGATTATTGCAACACTTATAAAATTATTTCATTGCAGGAAATCAACAAAAATATCTTTAGGCTTTTGCCGGCCCGATCATGTTCTAATTATGTACTTCAATGATATATTTTTGAAATACCTGGAAGTTCTATTGGAACAATGCACAAAAACCTTAACATCTTTACGGGAGAATTTATCATTCCCTTCCTACATAGTAGCGTCAATTTTTTTAATAAGTATTATTGGATTTGTCATTAAATTAACCTTTCAGTACATACTGAGCCCAGCAGTTTGGTCAAATATATTACACAGTGGGTCTGATAAACATCGGACACATCGTTATAGTAATAATGCAGCTTTAGTACAGGGAAGCGCAAATACCGGAGGCGACCAAATATCGGGGGAAAATCTAAAGCTATTGTTAAATGCCATAAATACAGCTCCTCTTCGGCAGTTGCCAATGAACGCCGTGTCAGGCGTACAGGAGGTGAAGGAATGTATAGAAGCTCCCCAAAGTTGCGAGGATGTAAAACCCATTATTATCCAAAAGAAGAATCCTCCTACTAGCCAGGATAATAACAATATGCAGAAAGAGCAGGCTGGTAAAACTTTCTTAAATGTAACACTAGAGGATATGGCTGACGAATAGTAATGAGCTTTTATTGTTAACCATTATTTATTTATAACTAGTTGATAAGATAATGTTTTATACTTTTAATTTTTTCGAATAAACGTTTTATGCTTTTGTAAGATTGTTCAGCCTAATTCAGGATATACCCAGGGAGTTTTTCTTGTGAGAGCAAAAGTACAGAAGTATGTCCCCATGTTCCCTATGTTTAATGTGTAAGCGAAATTAATTAAGCAACTGCTTGTGTCTGTGGAGAAACGAACCAAATACTTTCACTTTTTTAATTCACGCCATTAACATTAAACTGTAGGGCGATCCTTTATCGCATTGGCAAGAAGAACCAATCAGGAGAGATGTAATATCGGAAGGAGTTTGTAGACAATAATAAATCTTAAAGTACAGGGGTGCCCATATTCGACAGACCCATGTTTTTTTTTTTTTAAATCAAAGAAAGAAATAAAACTTTGGCGGTTGGCAATGTTAATCATTTAATTTGTTCCAAAGAGATTTGTTTACATCAATTTTTGAATATGATATCACTCAAATGGCCGCCTCTGGCGTTGATGACGTATTGTGCCCTTTTTGCTGCATTTTCCATCGTTTTTGCCAACATTTCGGCCGGAATAGCGGCTATTTCTTCACGAATGTTGTCCTTGAGCTCTTCTACGGTCCTTGGCTTGTTAACATAAACCTTTGACTTCAAATATCTCCACAAGAAGAAGTCAGGCGGCGTCAAATCGGGCGAACGCGGTGGCCAGTCCAAATCATCACTTTTCGACATCAAACGGCCCCGAAACAAATTCTTCAGAAAATCGATTGTTATGCCACTTTTGTGCGGTGGAGCGCCGTCTTGTTGAAACCAGAACTGCCTCATACGCTTTCGACGAATAATTGGCATCACAAAATTGGTCATCATGTCGCGATAACGCTCCTGATTGAGGGTAACAGCATGGTCATTTTCATTTTGGAAGAAAAACGGCCCAATGACCGTTTTCGCACTAACGCCGCACCAAACTGTGACTTTTTCGTCATGAAGAGGCACTTCTTGAATCTCCTGAGGATTTTCAGTGGCGTAAAAACGGCAATTTTGCTTATTTGCGGTCCCATTCAATGTGAAATGGGCTTCATCGGACATGATAATTTTGTTCCAAAATTGCTCGTCATCTTCGGCAATTTCGATGACTCTTTAGGACCATTCCAATCGACGAGGCCTGTCCGCAGGCAACATTCTTTGCGTCAATTGAATTTTGTACGGAAACAAATGCAAATCAATGCGAATAATCCGTTGTAAAGTGGACCGAGCCATGCCCAACTGCTGAGAACGGCGTTTTTGGGATGTTCTTGGTGACCTCTCAACACTGGTTCGTACGGCAGCGACATTCTCGGCCGATCGCATTGGTCGACTTTTATATGGCCTCTTCGGATTAGAAAGAGCCTTACCAGTCGAAAATTTTTCGTATAAACGCTTAATGGTGTTCTTAGAAGGCGCACTTCTCACATTTTTTAATGTTTTAAAAGCACGTTGATTTTTCACAATTGACTTCTTCTGTTGAATGTAAATTTCAAGTATTTCAGAGCGCTCGCGTGGCGTGTATTGGTTCATGGTAAAAATCTGCTTGGACTGACGCTTCAAACGCGGTATGTCATTAAGCGATGTGACATCTCTGTCAAAAGTTATGGCGTTGCCAGATGGGTCCGTCGAATATGGGCAACCCTGTATAGTTTTAATTAAACTCTTGATATGAATTATATAAACAGGGACAACGCCGTAAAAATGCATTAGTTTTATGAAAGGGTCCATGAAACAAATAATGTTCTCGTGGTAAAAATAAGAAGGTAACGTCATGCTGTCATATGTTTGCAACTTTTTCAATATTAATTTATAAATCCATTGTAGGGACATAAATCAGAGACACGTCAGTTTTATTTTTTTTTTTTTTATTTTTTTGAATTTCGCCTTACCAATTTCAATATTAATATTATAAACAGAGCAGCTAATTCATTCTTAAAGTCGTCTGTTTTTTTTAGATGAGTGAAGTTACTCTTCTGCACGGCTTTGCTAACCTAGTACATAAAACCAGTAAGCAAATACGGATTACCCTCCCGACAACTTATTTACAATGAATATACAGTAGACAAGTTTTCTTCGATCTATAATTTTATTTAAATTGATATTACATGTTGCATGTATTTGTAGTACAATCTGATAGTTTGTTCATAAAAAGGTAGTCATAATGCAATATATGTACAATAGCAGATTAAGAGTATTATCGGGATTTAATTTTAACACATTCTCATATTTAGTCAAGTCGATATAATAGATAATATACTTAAAGACTAAAAGCAGAATGAACGCGTAGGGACTTCATTCAAATGAATCAAATACAATTTTAAATTGAAAACCCGATAATGAATACTAATCTACCTTAAAGGGTTAAAGAGAAGATGGGCATTCAACCATGCTGCACGTTAAATTTGATCGAAAATACAACAACCACAAGGTTGTCCTTGTGAATGTTATTTACGATTATATTTAATGCGAGTATGTTCGCTCTTTACGAATACGACATTGACAATCTAAACAACGCATCTCGTTTATACGTGTTTAAAGTAAACGTAGGAATAGTGTACATTTTCAAATTAATTTGTCATTCGTGTTTTCAAGCTTAGACAAACACATTTGAACAAACGTCATTGTATTCGCATTATTATCACTGTTTCAAATTAAATAATTGATAAGTTAGCATACTATATAATATAATTAGGTAGGGATGATTTTCAAAGTGTTTTTGTGTGTTTGCACAGAAGTTGTGATTACGATTGTGTGGAGTATAAACATACTGAATGTCTTAAACTACGTATGGGAAAGCTTGTTATTTTTTTATTCTTGTTTTATATAATTGTTGAAATAATTTCTTAAAGAAGCCTAATTAAATAACATCTGTGTATTCAATTCTAATATATTTTTAAAGCATGTCGATTCAAATGCTTTCAAATGCGGACTTAATATTACGATAAATAATATTTTAATAATTGTGATTGTTTAATATATAACATTTTTTATGTTTAAAAAATAATTAACAAAAATCTTGTAAGCGTTGTATATATTATATGTATGTATATCACTTTAAAGTGTACATTTTTTATTATTCGTTGTATTTCAATGAAATCTTAATATTGTATGTATTTTACATTGTGTGTTGCGGTTGTTTTTTTAATGCTATATTTTTTTCCTTCAGATAATTTTTGTGAGCGAAGAAAATACATAGGCAGAGATGCACAATTCAATTGCATCATTTGTGAAATACATGGAAACTATATGCATTTTTGATTTAATTTAAAAGTATTGGTCCTCTCGTGACATATTCAATTGAAAAAATAATAGCCGAACGATATTCAACCTTTAATGTCCCTAAGGAAAATCACTACAAAATAAATTAGAATGTTATAAAAACTAGTAAAACTTACCTATCTGCCAGAATAACTTTTATAATACAAAAATTTATTAAAAATAATAAGATAGAAATCGGATATGTCATGCCTTAAGCAGAATGGTTGCAAAGACATACACACATTTTCTGTGTTACAGAAAAAATCGGTAAAATTCAAATGCTTATAATTTCGGTAGTTAACGAAATTAGTCGGAAAGTTAACGATGAAATTAAAGTAGTCGCTAAGGCGTACCGATAAATATCAAAGTTGTCGTATTTTTTATATCAATTTTATATCATATATATATACTTACACTTTGATATTTATCGGTATATATATATATATATATATATATATATATATATATATATATATATATATATATATATATATATATATATATATATATATATATATATATATATATATATATATATAACATATATATATATATATACATATATATATATATATATATATATATATATATATATACATATATATATATATCCCGATAAATATCAAAGTTGTCATCTTTTATTTATATCAAAATTTTATATATATATAAACTAGAAAACACAACAACTTGTGGACACCCAACTAGGAATGTACAGGTCTCAACTCTATTATTTCTCATCCTTAAAATCTGACTTGGTTTCTTCATTCATTTGTCACATACGCATTTCTTCATTCATTTGTCACATACGCATTTCACTGTCTTACTAGTTTTTTGCCCATAAAAATATTGAAGGTATCAAGCTAAATTTGTACACTTTGTAGTTATAAGTAATATATTTCTTAGGACGACATGTTTAAAAAAAAAAAGATTTAATCAAATATTTGAGGGTTACGAATCCAAACAATCATCAACGTCCTGCTCGTTTTTGTTTAACTTTTGAATTTTTACGCATGTACTCATTTAGTCGAATACTGATGTGGTCGATTATTGGATCATTATCATTTGATCACTATTTATGCGAAATTGATTTAATATTTTATCAATTAAAATACAAATATTTGTTTATTTATTTTTAAAAACAATAGATACACATGTCAATATTGTTTTTAAAAATTTTCGAAATTTAATGCATATTCACGGTATTTTGATGCCACATTTTTTTACGAACTGGTATTCAAAGTTTGTAACGGGTTTTCCTATGGGCCCCATATAACGTTACCTTTATATATTTGATAGTTGTATTTCGTAATGGGCTCTATCTCCGAAGAGAAAAAATATTGTCTATATTGGTTCAAGTTGTCCTGCATCCATATAACAGCACCGTCGAATGTTCTGTAATTTTAGCTACATCTTTTAAACTTCGAATTTGGATTCTTTCAGTTTAATGAAAACTGATTGGACATTTCTATGATACATTTTTAAATTAATTTAAATTACCACTGGTCTTATTTTTGAAACTGAAATTATTGATTTTCTCAATTGCATCATGCAGTAGACAGTTAGATAATACTAAAACGGGTTTTAGTTTGGAAACATCATATAATTGTAATATTTTTAAACATTAATATGTGAGCGTTTATTTGTATAATGACGCGACCTCAGTAAATTGCCTTATTTTTCTTGTCTCTCTATTCATCAGTATACGACATATATTTTTACAGAATAGCACTACCCATGGTAGAATTAAAATGGTGACGTCATACTAGCATATGTTTGGACATTTTTCAAAGTTATACATTTGACAACATCAACGCCGTGCTGGATATTATTATTTTTGAAATGGTGTTAGATTGATTTAATTGTACCGTGGTTCTATCGTTGTAACCAAGGTATAAGAATATAAGGTAACAGCTAAAAAACGACAAAATTGATTTTTTTTTGGTAGAAATTAATACAAACGTCACCTGAAGAATACAACATGAATGTATATGTTTTTCTTACCAGCCATGAATGCAATAAGTAAGACAACAAATCAAATATTTCTTGGCTATAAGAGTAAGTTTTATTCGAAAAACTGTTGCTGTTGGTGATACACTAGACACTTCAAGTGTCAATCTGGATTGAACAATGCATTGGAGGAAATCCGAACTGAATGTAAACACTGGGGGACGCATGTATTGTGTTGAATTCGGCATAAGAATAATAAAACTACGAGCATATGATAGAAGGTAAATACAATCATACAATATTGAATTCGATTATTTTGATTCTAAATTTGTTGGAGAATTTCGTGTTTATATCGTGTTTGACATCTTGTCTTTGTCTCATTTTAACAACAATACGTTTGTATTTTCAAAAGATAATTAAAGCTTTGTTTATTTTTTCAATTCTTATATTGATAATAAAGTAAACTAACAATTAAAACTACCTAATTTATTTGTTGGTAAGTATGTGTTGCGCAGTGTATATGTATATATAATTAAATTACGAATATTACAATATATTACTACAAGTTTATTGTTGTTTCTCTTTAATTTTATTAAATGACTAAATAAGCAAAAATAACAACACTTGAATTCGGGTAATCGGTTGCTGTTTTCTGCCAATTCCCAATAATCTCTTAATAAATATTTACCTATTTGAATAATAGCAAAAACTGTCTATTCTTATGTAAAATTGCGTTCCTTTGTGTATTTATTTAATTAATTGTATAAATATTTGATGTATATATGTATGTGTGTGTTTGTATGTATTCTTGTATGAAGTTTTCCGTTCAAAAACGTATTCAGCAAGCGGTTAATTAAAATTATGCATAAATATTTCATACCTACATATGTTTTTGCTTCGAATGATGCTAATAGTGTACACAAAACATACATATCGCTCTATTACTCAAAGAGTGTGAAAACTCGAAATTCGCCTTTTTGAGTCATCGATTCATTTTTAAGTACCTTTGCATTAGCCGTCACTTAAGAAGTGACGACACTTAACAAAACAACCTCATGTTGAATCTTGAAGATGTCGCCAAATTCTATGGAAGATAATAACTATGTCGATCTTATTATTTAGATTTTATTTCATCGAGACCCCCTTAGGTATTATAATTCATGCCTTATTATTCTGTCAAAAGGGTTTCTGTGTGAAATTTATCAAACACAAAAACATACCTAACTAAATTTCAACATTTTAACATCATACAAGTATATTTAGGTTCTGGAACAGAGCAACACTTATCCGACAATGAGGCACAGTTTGCTCAGATAACAGTACGTGTACAATCACATTAAATTTGACTATTAACGTATGTAGCAAAATTTATTGTGATAGGTCAATCGTCCGGATTATCCCTGGTAAATATTTTGTATGCACATGTGCTATAAGTCCCACGAAGAGAGCGGAACATGCATTCATAGACACGTTACATAGTATATAGACTCGACTCGCGGTAGAATTAAATTAAGGCAATCTCATTTTTAATAATATCCAGTAGTGGAATTCTCTAACTCATTATCGAGTCACCACTGTGGATAAAAATAAAATTATATAAGGAGTTTATAAGACCGTCAATATTGACGGTTAACGTATGTGTTTGCAGGAGAATATAAAAATAGAGAATACAAAAAACGACCAACAAATTATGCCGCAATAGAGCTAATATGGAAGTAAATTGTGTCGGAAAATACGTGCACATTTAGTTTGGTTTTTAAGTTTTTTTACAACCATCTGAACGTCCTACACACCGACAAATAAAGTACTCACTTTTAGTAGATTCCTTATTTACTTGATGTATTATCTAAGTAATTGAGAATCTAAATAACACGTTTTACGAACATATTTTCCATGTAAATAAGGAATACATAATGTATGGTATAATTATAAGAAGTACAACAACAAGTACAATTCAATAAGAACCATAAGGAAATTTTTTATTGTAAGTAATGCTAGTGTCAGTGTGTTATGTCCAAACATGTAATCCAGGCAAAATAATTTTAAAATATACATAAAAGTATTTATAATATTTGGATATTTGTATTTGGATTATAACGCTCCTTGTTATGTTATAACTCGTAAAAAAGAACCGTCACGCATTTTCAGTCAGATTTTCTTTCAATTCGTTTTGATTTTTCGGTGATTTACCTTGAAGGTAAATCTAAAAAATCGACATCCGGGGACGGGGATTTTTAAGCCCAAAAAAATTAAATTTTATGTCCCACGTAATACAGCAGATAAAATGTCATTCATTATTTTTGTAAAATATGCCACCCGTCACACGAAAATATTTTAGTCATGAAAAGAAGTGTTCACACATAGGAATACTAGCCCATTATTTTAACAAGGTTAAGTTTCTTGACAAAGCATCGGTAGTTATTCCTTGCCCACCAATCAGTCGACAAAAAAGCAGTTATTCTTTGGCTACTGCCATGGAAGTTGAATAGTTGAAAGCGGTAATTTTGAATGGAGGAGGAGTATACTACATTTTGCAATTTTAAAAAAAAGACCAAATAAAAATAGAGTCGCGCTTACCTCAGAAACAAAGTAGAAACAATGTTTTTAACTTTTAATTTATGTTTTACATGAAAGTTACAGACGTTTGCCCGTAACGCCAAAAAGAGTTGGAGAATCCTACTACAGCATAGACTAAAAAATATTTACACAACGGAATGCTCTCACTGTCAGTCGACAAAAAAGCAGTTATTCTTTGGCTACTGCCATGGAAGTTGAATAGTTGAAAGCGGTAATTTTGAATGGAGGAGGAGTATACTACATTTTGCAATTTTAAAAAAAAGACCAAATAAAAATAGAGTCGCGCTTACCTCAGAAACAAAGTAGAAACAATGTTTTTAACTTTTAATTTATGTTTTACATGAAAGTTACAGACGTTTGCCCGTAACGCCAAAAAGAGTTGGAGAATCCTACTACAGCATAGACTAAAAAATATTTACACAACGGAATGCTCTCACTGCTTATCGTCCATATTATGGCAGGGGTATGATTGAAATTCAAAGCCACTCAGATCTAAATCTTATGTATATTTTACATGATTTCGTCGAAAAATGGCCTATCAATCATGTGCAGTGCTTCAAAAACGAATTAATGTGTTTCCAAGTCGAGTAGGTCCACTGGCTCAATCAGCATGTTGACTATGCAAAAACTTGCTGAGAGCCACATGGGTATAAAGACAGGACCAAAGCTTCCGTTGTCTACATATTCATTAGTCTATGACTACAGAGGGATGTTGGATGATATGAGAAGATTTTCATCCATATCTTTTAATATATTTCTTATTCCTGGTCTTCAGTCTTAAAACGTGAAAAAAAAACATTCCCGATATGTGCACATGAAAATGTTACTTTCAATTTTGGTAAATGATTATGGAATTATTTTTTAGTTCAATTTCCAAATGAAAGATAAATGAGACTACCTTTTATAATTATGCTATGTCTAAATTTGGTGTACCCAACTATAGCCGATCTTTTTCCGCCGTCTATCATTTATGAATATAACATAAGTATGTTTGTATGGGTGTGTACAATGTATAATTTCACTGAATATATGCACCAGTTTCAAGTATTTGTTAGTATTTCTTTGCATTACATTATGAGACATTTCTCTTTGGCACTACTGGAGCCTCCTCCGTCACCCTCGCCGTTTTCCGCTATGGCACCATTTGTTTCCTTATTTTTCTTTTCCTTCTTCTGCTTCTTTTTTGTTTTTGTATCCAGCTGTAGCGATACTGTTCGTGTTTTTTCCAAATTTAGCAATTCCTGAAACCAAACACAAGGGACACATTGGGATTAACCTTAGATTTAGTTAAAAACAAATTTACAGTCCAATACTTTATTAAGCATATGAAAATATCTTAATGTGAAAAAGGCGTTTGAAAGAACTACATTCCTGTTTCCAATTTTCCAAAACAGTCTAATGTATCGATGGGCACTGTTAGTTCGGGGTACTTACAGTCGGTCTGTTCCCGAAATGTGAGAGTGTACATTTTTTTAATTCATTGATTGATTTTTCCTTTATGACATCGGAAAAAATCAAAAATAATAGATTCTTTTAGGTTCTGGAATAGATCAAATGTTTGTAAATAGTTTTTTAAACATTTGAAGAGAAACGCATACTTTTTCGTATTTTAAGAAAGTTATAATTATTTAAAATTTTGATCCGTTCTGAGGGAGGTACTAGTACCCATGGTACAATGAATTCAAGGTAGGGCAGAACTACCATATGATTTAAATTTTTTTTATTTTTCTGGCTTAATATGTCAACTTCACTTGTTTATGTTTGTGTATTATTTTCAATAATAAAATAATTTGTTCAGAAAACATTTAAATTCGGGTGTTTTCAAAATGCTTATTGCGACGTATGCATCGACAAAATCTCCACCAAAGACATAGAAGTATAAAGATGGGACAAGACAGAGTCAATATATGGCAACCCTGTGAAAATACCTCTGTTGTTATGATATCGTAACAACATAGTTAGAAATGTTATGCGATTTAAACCGCTTAGGCAATATGCAATTAATTTGGACAGTCTATGGAATAGAATTTTGAAACCCAATCCTTGGATTTTTCAAACTTTTGTTTGTCATTTTTTTTCTATAAATATATTTTTTATATTAACATGGTCCTGCCATAAGCTGTTACTCAGACAGTATAGACACAAACCATTTGCTCAGAATGCATTTTGTCTAGTCTTTACCATTTTAGGTCTTTGTCTCCACTTTTTGTCGCGAAATAAACCATAAGAGATGTATAGAACATGATTTTGAAAAGAAATTTTGACCTTTCATTCAGTTTTCGCGGTTTTAAATTATTTATTCAAAATCAATGCAACAAGTTGTTTGCTTTTTTATTGTTTTGATAGTAATTCTGACATTACAAGCCAAACAGGTACCCCTTTTTACTTGCAATTTTTTCAAAGTTAGCCTACCTTGTATTCATTGTATCATGCTAGTACCATATTCAAACATGGTCTTGTTTTGATAAAAATATTGGGATGCGTCTTTTGAAAGTAATCGTATACTTATTTCGAATTTTATAAGCTTCATGGTTATTCTAAATGTTGACCCTTTAATGGGGGAGGTACCGGAAGGAGTGGTTCATTCCATTCGTTCTTCATACCAGATCTGGACGTGGTAGAAATATTAAGGTTTGCTAAATTTAAAGACAATCTGATCTTTTATTTCACATTTTATAAAAGTTATAAAAATTCAAATTTTTGACACTTTGTGGGGGAGGTACTTGATGGAGTGGACCGATGTTATCTATTTTCGTACATGACATAGCACTTATAGAAACATTGGGGATTTTAAAGTTGACACAAAATGAAATGATCCTTTCTTGTTCCATAATATAACTATCTGAACCCGGTGCGCTTCGCTACTCTCCTTTTGATTTTATATGCATTCAAAATTTTGTATACAAATATTTGTTGGTTAAAAAAAATAAAACAAATTCAAAAATTTAAAGAAACAAATTAATACTTTAATGCGTAAACAAACAAAGAGCTAGGTCTGCCACGCGTGAGCATGTCAGGAGCAGCTGACCATGAGAAAAGCAGGAAGCGAATTTATTACACCAAATTCATTGAAATTGGAGGTGCATACCGTGTTTGGTGCATCAAATTTGTGAAATCGGCCAAGAATATTTATGGGAGCTATATCCAAATCTGAACCGATTTCAATATAATTTTGCAAATTTATTTTTGTACCAAATTTAGTCACGCATGCCAAATTTCTTTGGAATCGGACTTACTTATCGTGTTTGGTGCATCAAATATGTGAAATCGGACGAGAATATATATTGGAGTTATATCCAAATCTGTACCGATTTCAATATAATTTGGCAAATTTATTTTTGTTCCAAATTCCGTTACGCATTCCAAATTTGGAGACTGTATCTGTAATCGATCAATAGATATGTGCACATAAAATCTAAATTTTTGGGAGGTACCCTCGATTCTGATGCTATATCCCTAGTTCCAAGTGGAATTCCAAAAATTTATATAGCTTATGTCACTTTGTAGTATACTTGTAGCATACCCAATATAATCAATGTAGCGGCAGTACTTCCAAGTTTTCTGTGGGAAAGAAGCAGAACATAGGTCTTCCGATAGGGCCAGAGGATTACCCTAGTATTGCATACATGCATACAATTGTGAATAAAATGTACACAAAATTGTTGACAGTGCTGGGTTTTTAATCTTAATGGTAGTTTTCGTTGTACTTACACGTTTAACGGACCTTGGAACCCATAAACAAAGTTGTTTTTACTCAACTTACCTGAAATAATTCCGTAACATTGTGATTGGTTTTTGCAGAAGTTTCCATAAATGAAATATTCCATAGCCGGGCCTGCTCTTTGCCCTCCTCCTCTGTAACATTTCGCAGTTCCGCACTTTCATCGCACTTATTGCCAACCAGCATAACAGGTATATTTACTATGTCTTGACCCTGGAAGAGTTGTGCTCAGTAACATTATGTGTCGCTTCTAATACGAATGTCTTACCTTCAGTTCCTTAATGAGATTCCATATTGGCTTTAACTCTTCTAAGCTTTGCTTCGAGCACACCGAATACACTAAAATGAAGGCATGACCTTTAGTTATGGACAATCTTTGCATCGCAGGAAACTGATGGGATCCCGTTGTGTCGGTAATTTGCAGGGTGCAGATCGTTTTATTGCAGCTTATGACCTAAGAAAATGGGAATGGATCAAAGTATATCTTAATCTCTGTAATTAAATTGATAACATTGTTCAAAAAATAAATGTATATATGGACTTATTGCCATTGTATTTTGTATGTAAACTACCCGCAACAAGAAGCGGGAAAACGCATTATCTACTTTCGGACAAAATTGTGTTGTCTCACAATAATAATCCCGAAGACCTGATATATATTTATGCAATATTTAACGATTCGATAATTTTCGCCTATCAACCACCATGGAAAGGATGAAAGGACGAAGACCCCATAAGTATATATATTCATAATCAGTATTAAACTCTAAGTCGATTTAATTGGGTCCTTATGTTTGAAATTTGACACGGTAGTTCATATCGTGTCTAGGATGGTTAACATTGAAAATAAGGTATATCGGCCCCTTCCGATATTCGGTATGGACGGTATGGTAATTGGGTATTGAGAGTTTGTATCGTGTTCTACCTCGGGCGATCGCACATTTTCGGTATAAGTCCATGTTTTACAATAGACCCCATATAACGGTTCCGTCGGATATTCGGTATTTTGATGATTTAAGACAAATTTTTTACAGGATTTGTGTAAAACTTGGTGTTTGTAGTTCATAATGGGTTCTATTACCGCTGTCAGATCATTGTCCATATTGGCCTACGGTACCCGCCAATATTTGGTATTATGATGCTGCTAGCTTCATTCTTCCACGAGATTGTTTTAAATTAGGTATTTAAGACTCGCAAAAGATAACGGTATTTGTAGTAGAAATGTATCTCTATAGAATCCCGTTTTGCTATGACCCCCATACAATGGCTCAATCCACTTTATTGTTTTTTTTTTTAAGAACTTTAACTTCGTTCTCCAACCGATCTCACTGATATTTGTAGTTTAAAGTGGAAGACACATTTGAATCCAGATACTTTTAATTATATTTTTTTTTTCCAATGGTGTACCATCCACAATAGCCCTCCTTCAAGGTAGAGTGATGCAATAGTATGTTAACAATTTGCTCTGTTCCAGAACCTGCAAGAATCTACTACATTTGCAATTTTTTCGATATCATAAAGGGAAAATCGGCTATTGTAATATTTTTTTTGTTTGTATTCTTGCAGTTTTGGAACAGACCAAAAGTTATTAATTTGACAATACTCATCGTCAAAATATATATTTTTAAAGACGCAACTCAGAGATTGGTACCTGTTTTCTATGCAGTGAAATTTGACAAAGTAAATTACAGAAAAGGCAGATTAATTGAAATTACTTTACCTTCTTCATTTGAATTTGCGACACATCTAACACAATCTCAAAAAAATTGCGACTCACCAATTGGCTGCTTATAAAAGTAACACATAAATACTACCAATAGCAGTTTGCAATAGAGATTTAAAGATTACATGTATCATTTTTTATTTAATACTAAAATAGTCTACGAACAATTGATTTCAATGGGTATGATGTACTTATTCTACACATATTACAGATTTACCATCATATTAGTAACTTTTAGACGCAGGGGGTTGACACGTCCAATTTATTCCATATTTAGTTGCATAAGAAGTGAAGGCAGGAAGACTTTGGTTGATTCATTAAATAGGCAAGCACACTTCCTAGCAACCGAAATCAGAATTTCGTAAATTGTTTGTGATGAAATGGGTGTCAAAGTTACTTCTTTATAATAAAAAATGCGAAGCAATGGCATGATGACTTGGTTTCCTTCTATTAGGGTTTCAAGAATGCAAGTAATTTAAAAACATTTGTATGTCGAAATTCGCAAACTTATTTTTTTGTTTTTGAAGAACCATGGTAAAATAAGGAAGGTAATGTCATGCAATAATATGTTTATTTTTTTTTTTTTCAAAATTATACGCTTTATCATTGTACAATGAAATCAAGGTAGGGCAGAATTACCAAATGATTTTATTTTTTTATTTTCTTGGCTTAATAAGTCAACTTTATTTGTTTATGTGTGTGTATTCTTTTCAATAATAAAAAAAAGTTTTCAGAAAATATTCAAATTCGGGTGTTTTTAAAAGTGCTTATTGCAACGTATGCATCGACAAAATCTACAGTTTTTGTCGCGAAATAATCCTTGGTAGATATATAGAACATGATTTTGAAAATAAAATTTGACCTTTCATACTGTTTTGGTGCTTTTCAATTATTTATTCAAAAACAATGCAACAAATTGTTTGGTTTTTTTATTGTTTTGATAGTAATTCTGACATTACAAGCCAAACAGGTAGACCTCAATATTTGCAATTTTTTCAAAGTTAGCCTACCTTGTCTTCATTGTACCATGCGCTTGATAACATCTCATTGTCAAAATTTATATTTACAAAACCATTGTATACTCACAAATCAGAGATGGGAACTAGTTTTCTATGCACTGAAATTTCTTATAATTTGTTTATATTCTATGGAATACAATGAAGACAAGGTAGGCTAACTTTGAAGAAATTGTTTATATAGAGGTCTACCTGTTTTGTTTGTAATGTCAGAATTATTATCAAAACATAAAAAGACAACTTGTTGGATTGATTTTGCATAAATAATTGAAAACTACCGAAACTGAATGAAAGGTCAAAATTTCTTTTCAAAATCATGTTCTATACATTTCCAAAGGTTTATTTCGCTACAAAAAATGTAGATTGTGTCGATGCATACGTTGCAATAAGCATTTTGAAAACACCCGAATTTGAATATTTTCTGAACATTTTTTTTTATTATTAAAAAGAAAACACACACATAAACAATTAAAGTTGACATATAAAGCCGAGAAAACAAAAAAATTAAAATCATACCCCAACATACCAAATTGACTTGAGAATAATATTTTAATAAGCTTACAAACATAAGCCTAAAGCTTGAGAAAATCTTGAGAATGTATTGAGAAATGTTTGTTTAACAATTATAGAATAATCGAAAAGGAACCCTTATTCATAAGCTTATTCTTGTAATTGCAGAATAAGCTTACGAAAGTAATATTTTATAAAGCTTATTTTTTCAATGGTAAAAAATATTTATTTATTCATTTTTTAATTATTTTACACATTTCATTCATTGATTGCCATCCCAGCTGTCACTGCATCCTGTTGCCTTGATACCTAGATGTTTTCTTTCCCCTTATTTGAGCTTCTGTATCTCCTCCACTTATTCTTCACTTCTGTTGAATTCCTGCAACTTTTTGACGCCTCCATTCTGAAATGAGATTGAAATAATTTATACAACAGATTCCCAGATTTATTATTCATCATTACCTTAGAGTTTCGTCCGGAAATGGGTCCTAAATTCGCGTGATTTTGATTTTAACCAAAGAAAATAATTTTTTGTTGACAATTTTCACAAAAAAAAATCAAAACAAATTTGTCAACAAAGGACAGATTTGAGAAAAGTTTGTGCAAAAAAGTGTTTCTCAAGCATTGTTGAAAAATTTTTATGATAAACTATTTTCATAATGTTATTCTCAAGCTGTATTGTATTTTTGGTATGTTGGGACGGTATCATGGTCCTACCTTGATGTTATTGTATGTTAAATTTGTCATTCCATTTGCAACATCCCCAAATATTCGCCGTAGACCCCAAAAGTAAATATATTTATATTCAGCATAAAATGTTCAGTCGATTTAACGACATCCGCCTGTCTGTTGATGGTTGGTATTGAAAATGAGATAGATCAATACCAACCACGATTTGTTATAACCTACATATAACGGTACCTCCCGATATATGGTATTTTGATGATTTTTGCCACATTTTCCACGGATTTGCCTAAAAATGGTATTTGATTTCGTAATGGGTTCTAGTCCCGGTGGCGGAACATGGAATATTTAGCATTTTAATAATCCTAGTCACATTTACCCACGAAATCGTTCCAAATTTGTTATTTAAGACTCGCAATAGATAACAATCCTTGTAGTATAAAATTGTCTCTATATGTTTCCGTTTTGGTATGGCGCCCCATATAACGGTTTATGAGTAAAGTATTAAAAGTTCATCCAGGTCCAACTTACAGCTTTTACTTGTTTTATTTTCTTGGTTAAATACGTCAGGTGAGAATACATAAACATTGTTTTGGCTGGCTGTAGTCATCGGCTGGCTTCTTCCAAAGAAAAGAACAAAGGAGCGTAGGGCCAAAATCGATTTAAGTCAACCTAAAACTCCTTTGTTCTTCTACGAAGAAGCCAGCCGACGACTTTAAGCCAGTCAGAAGCTTTTTTCTCACCTTTAGTTGTGTATGTATGTATTCTTTTCAATTATATAAAAATTGTTTAGAAAATATTTATTATTTTTTATTATATTTAGAACATGATTTTGAAAAGAAACCTCGATCTTATATTCAGTTTATAGGTGTTTTGTTTATTAATTCAAATTCAATGTAACAAGTTGTTTTGTTTCTCTGGCAAGGATTTGTGTAAAATTTCGTATTTGTAGTTCAAAATGAGTTTTATAACCGCTGTAGGAACATTGTCGATATTGGTCCACAAAGGAGTTTTAGGTTGACTTAGTTTGATTTTGGCCCTAGGCTCCATTGTTCATTTCCGAAGAAGCCAGTCGATCGATATTGGCCAGCAAGATAAGCGCTTTATGTATTCCCACCTTAAGTGTTTTTTTTTTCTCACAACCACTTTAATGGCGACTTTCAATAAAATTTGAAACTTTTGACGGTCGTTTGATTTGTTTTTAATTCAATATTCGTTTGCTTATAATTGAGCGGTTCCAGATCTACAAGAATGTAAAAATATTAACTACGATATGACATCAAAAAATTTTCTGGAAGTACTGGAACAGAGCATATATATATATATATATATATATATATATATATATATATATATATATATATATATATATATATATATATATATATATATATATATATATATACGGTGATCAACACTTTGGTATTTTTAAGTCGCTAACTTACCGAAAAATATCGTTAATTACCGAAATTATAAGCATTTGAATTTTACCGTTTTTTTTTTTTTTTTTTATATATTATATATATATATATATATATATATAAATATATATATATATATATATATATATATATATATATATATATATATATATATATATATATATATATATATATATATGTATATATATATACGGTGATCAACACTTTGGTATTTTTAAGTCGCTAACTTACCGAAAAATATCGTTAATTACCGAAATTATAAGCATTTGAATTTTACCGTTTTTTTTTTTTTTTTTTTGTAACTCAGAAAATGAGTTACAGAATTCCACTACTGGTGACCAACCGAAGGTGCACATTTTTTCAGCTGACCTCTTTGGCAAGTATACACTATCATTTTGTTTTGTTTACAAACTGCTGGACAACGAATAATTTCTCATCGGAGAAACCCAAATTCGGCAGTTCACCACTTTCGGCCAAGCGAAGCAACTCTTTACCTCTTTTAGGTCTATTTTCTTTCTATTGCTGTGTAAGTTTTTGAAATTTTTGATATTTCAAAGACTTTACCCCGAGAACATTTTTCAATATTTTCCGAATGGAATATTCCGAGCCATCTTCGACCATTACGTTCTTTACTTTTCGAACCATTGCAGCTGATGTTGCTGTTTTCTTCCGTCCACTTCCTTGACGTCGGGCTACGCTACCAGTATCACGGTAACGAGCGATGGTACGAGACACAAAACATTTATTCACATTTAAATGCTGGAGTGCTCTAACGATAGCCACTTGTGGTATTCCAGCCAAATATAACGTCGGACGAGTGGCTCAGAAATGACAGCAGTCTGAAGTTTCGATCGTTGTTTCAAATAAACCAAGACATGCGAGCATGTATTTTTGTATGGCAAAATATGTTTTTATACCCTGCGCAAGCGATTCCATATTGGAACTAAGAAGGCAGAGTGATGCAATCATATGTTTACCGTTTTTTTTTTTTTTCAAAGTTACTCTTTTGATAACATCTTAATGTTATTTATGAAATATGACAAAGTTAATTACCGAAAATGCTGAGGTGGGTATGCTTATTTGAAATGACTTTAGTTTCTTCCATGTGTGATTCCCAAAGTTTACTGACCCAGACCCAACTTTGAAAAAAATGGTGACAAGTGGATACAAGCGAAGTAAGATGAAATTTGTAATTTGAAGGAAAACGTGACATGATGACATATATAAATGCCTATTTAGTAAACTCACCAACGAAAGGGAACTCATATATATATTGGTCTACGTTGATGATATTTTTGTGATTTAAGACAAAATATTTGATTATTGAATTCGTCAGGAGACATTTGTTGAAATCTTACTAAAAGAGTTTGAAATACAGGATTTAATACAGGACATCAAAGTATACACTTGATCCAAGATACGGCAAGGAGATATCAGAACCATTGCTGATAATTCAAGGTGCGGGAAACTAGTTGCATCTCTTCTGTACATACATATGTGTGACTAATAGGCCAGATATAACAGCCAGTCGTTTAAAGATGCCTAGTGGACCGAGCTAAAAAGTGTTTTGAAATACCTAAATTATGTTAAACTACTACAATGAAAGCACTCTCTTTTAGAACGCATTGATAGCTATGCCGGCGCGTATTTGGTCGGAGAATAGAATTGGCAGCAGATGTAATTCTAGATTCATTTTCCAAATAAACGGAGAATCCATCAACAGTTCATTTGCTCTCTTCGATTACATTAAACCACAACATATCAATTGCATATATTGTCCTTCATATCTGCTATGTCGACCAAGCCTCTATCATTAATCAAAAGTGCGAGATTCAGGTAGCAATCAGGAGTACAGATTGCCAAAGTCTTAAGCTGGGAATACATAAAGCGCTTTTTTGGCTGGCTTAAGTCATCGGCTGGCTTCTTCGGAAATGAACAAAGGAGCCTAGGGCCAAAATCGAACAAGGTCAACCTAAAACTCCTTTGTTCATCTACGAAGAAGCCAGCCGATGACTTAAGCCAGCCAAATATGCGCTTTATGTATTTCCAGCCTTAGGGTGCAAGTACATAAAGAGCTTGAAGTCATGGCTAGGCATATTTTGTGACATTTCATAAAGGGATTACAGAGCCGCATTACATGACATTACAATGACATTACATGACATTAATATGCCTAGCCATGACTTCAAGCTTGTTATGTACTTGCACCTTTATACTTTGATTTGTAAAATAATATCAATGTAGTTTACATTGAAATGTGAATTTGTACCAAATATTTTTCCATTCTCTAAAATTAACTTGATGAAGATAGTCTTCTAAATTTTGTTTCTCAGACGTACTCTAAAGGTGTGGGTACATAAGTAGCTTGAAATCTTCGCATAGCATATTTTGTGACATATTATAAAGGGATTTAAATTTGGCATTAATATACAAATCTGCTTCTGTTCCGACAGGGCCAGCTGGCATTGCTACCATTGAACATATAAGTTGCAACCATAGTAAGTTGCTACATTGCTGCTGGGACAATGAACTCTCAAACCAATTTTGAAAATTATTCAAATTCGTTAAAACTGTTTAAACAGGCATATCATAACAACCTCCGATTTATTAAAAAAAAAACATTTTAAAATTTTTCCAAGCGTTGATATATCTATGGTACAACAAAGAGGTAGAACAGCTTCGTAAAACTACAGAAATACAGATCTTTGCCCGCTTCCTGTCAGAATTACTCAAAATTATATGCAACAAGTTGTTTCCATTTTTTTCACATTTAAAAATGTCTTAAATAAAGCGAAAGATGAATGAAGTTTCTGGACTTTCTTTAAAAAATATGAACCAAAATGTTGAATCCTTCAATTCCATGGCAAAACTGGTTTATATCTTCAAAGCACGCTCCACAATCTACGTTTTCTCCAATCATTGATTTTGAAAATATTTTGCTTTTATTTTTCGAAACAATAAAAAAAATTGTGATCAGGTGGTAGCCCTACATTACCTTTTTATTGTACCATGGATACATCTACCTGTATTCTTCTACCATGGTTGCGACATAATATGTAAATATTTTCAATATGATTTAAAACAATAAATACTCAAACGGTGTACATATTTCGACCAAAAAAAAAAAAAAACTACACCGTGAGACGTAGCAATGGTTTATGTCGCATAAATGTAAAGTATGTGTCACTATTGTTTAGTTAAGACGTTCAATTTCCATTAGGTCTTCAACACAATTATTACCATTCCTGTAAAACTATTAAATATTCTGTGCTCTTATTGTCGGTTGGGAGTCGAATGCCTTTGGGAATTTTTCGAACCCTTTTATTTATTCGTACTTCGTCGTTCTGAAGCGAAAAATTACTAACTCACACTATTAAAACATTCAATTGGTTTCGTTGAAGTCATCTGTGATTTTCATATTAAGGTTTGGAGCTAAATATTTTTTGCTCTAGAACGACGACTTTTCAGCTCATAGAGTTACAAATAGTTGAACATTTCTCTGTAATATGCTCACCTGACGATATGTATCCTCTATTGTTGGTATATAGGATTCGCGAAATGTTCCTTTTATAAATCGTAGAACTAATGAACTTTTCCCAACTCCCCCCGCGCCAAAAACAACAACCCTATAGTCGTTGTTTGCTTCGGCGCGGGTCACGACCTGCTGATTCTTTTGCTCCGTAATTTTGAGGCTGTTTCTTAAACACTATCACAATGTTCACTCAAATATTTTCCCTGAACGAGAAATGAGTCAGTTCTCTTTGTTTTATAAAATGTTACGTGGCGTATGACACTTCAAAACTGCATGCGCGGAATTGATGATATTAATGACTTGTACACTTTCATACCGGTTTTTCAGTTTCTTTCGCGCAGGTCTGCAAGAAAGTAATCGTAAGGGTCTGCTACAATGTTGCGAGTTGAGTGTTTATGTTGGATGTTTGTGGGTGTGAGATCAATCATTGTTTCGCTATTAACATGCATGGTATATATTGTATGTTTTATATGTGTATATACATATAGGATGCTTATGCCAGTATGAAACTATTTTTTGTAAAAAGGTGCAAAGAAATTAGAATCAGAACAAGTTACTTCTCCGCTCACGACTTGGTGCTCCGTCAGTGTTAGGCGCTTTAAATCAATACGTTAAAATAATAGTTCTGAAAATTTTATAAATAAAAAAAATTGTTTCAAATTATTTCAATTTGGCCAACTTATGAAATATACATAAATATAAGAGGTGTGTGTGTGTCTTCACTATGTATATTTTTATAAATGCAAATAAAGTTCAATAGAATAGGTCATGGTAGAAGAATATAGGTAGACGCGTCGACACAGCTGCTGGGAAAATGAACTGTCAAACCAATTTTGTAATTGAAAATGTTGAATGAAAAATTATTTAAATTTGTAAAAATTGTTGAAAAACGTAAATTATAATAGCCTCCGAATGACGTAGTATAATAAAACATATAAAAATCTACTTATATTTGAAAAAACATTTAAATTTTGTTGACATATCAATGGTCCCAAGCGTTGATGCATCTACCTGTATTCTTCTGCCATGGAATAGGTATAGAAAATAGTATAAACATATTATTGCAAGCTCATTTTGTCACTTCAATACAGTCAGAGAATGAAATGGGGCAACCTCAATCACATTACGTTCTTAGACACTTGTAGAAAATAAATGGCTAATTGTTATCGGCATTACAGTTGTCACAATGTAATGCCGACTCTGAAATCACTTCCACCCAAAGTTTCGCTTTGCTGCAGTATTTCATTTTCTAATTTTAAAGTTATAGTTGTTCTAAAAATGCGCCCAATCAATTAGCAATACCATACTTTATACAGATGAGAGAGATTATTTTTTGAAAGAATGGCAATTTTTGTCAAGTTTAGAACTAATAGTACGTTTACAGTCCTAGTGTATTTAAATCACTGCATTGCATATACGCCAAAGGAGTTTAGCCCGGCAAAACGATCTAAGGTAAACATATTAAAGTTTATTAAAAATAAAATAACATTATTATAATAACAATCACGAAGTCGCGGTTTTATGTCAACAAGCCTCAGACTCTTTTAGCTTTTAAAGACAATATCCGTCAAGAATGTGGGGACCTATTAGGTGTGTCTGGTTACCCTAACATTTGTAACAATTGTTACAAGTTGTTACTGGGAGTCGTCTGATAACCCGAAAGTTCTGCAAAAGAGAGCGGTTGGAGAGGGAAATTTTGACAGTTCTTTCAGTGAGAGTTTGCAAATTCTTGCTGGACAAATTTCTTCTTGCAATCACTTGCAACTCTTCTTCTCATTTATCGACATTCAATCAGATGTTTTCTATTGTTTGTTTATTTATTTTTGTACTTTTAATTTGAAAATATTTTTTGGAACTTGAAAGACTAATTGTTTTTGGAGAAAAACTTTAAAAAATGTGGAAAACGTAAAAAAATAAAAGACTATTTCCAACATTTTTATTTAAAAAACTTGTAAAATTAGTATTGCTTCCTTTGTTTTAATTCTCCTTATGGGGGACAAATTGGTTTGTTTTGACAAATCAGCTGATTAGTTGCAAGCTTTTGCAGGAATACCGTCTGTTTACTTTTCGCATTTTCCTTGCAAAAGAGAATAAAACTGCCTTTTCTCTCAGAAAGAAGTTGCTGGACAATTCCTGCTGGAAAAGAAACCAGACACACCTATTGCCGGATGTGTTGGCCAAAGAGATGTAAAATGTCATAAAAAGAGCTCAAATGACAAAAAACTGTGGCGACGGCCATTTAAATGTATTTCTTAATAGTTTGTTTGCCATGACAAGCATATAACCAAAATTGGTTTTCAGTTCATTGTCCCAGCAGCTGTGTCAATGCGTCTACCTATATTCTTCTACCATGTATTGGACCATGATGCAACAATAAGGTGTTCCAATAATCAAACGAAATGTCTAAACTTGTTTACTTTTTGTTTATCTTTCGTACTGTGATTCTAATCACAATAAGTATTTTGACAACTAATCTGGATGTGTGTAAATGCCTTTGCCTTGTGTAAATGCCAGGTTAGTATTTTAAAGAAGTGTGTACAATGTCATATCAGACATTTGTAATATATATTGTAATGCTCATGGTAGAAGAATATTCTTCTACCATGGCAATGCTTTTGTTGAAAAGTTGCCAAAGGTTGTTTTCTTAGCATTGGAACAAATGTCCCTGAACTCCACTATATGAAACCCCTTCCCCATATAAAACCCTTAAAAGCACAGAAACACAAATATGAATCACATAGTTGGGATGGAAAAATTAGATATGTAAATACGTCAAGACATCCCTTGATGGTGATCGGTGATTGTCTTTCCCAACAAATGTCATTCCCAATAATTCGCCTTAACTTTCACAGCAATGGTTAGCCACTAAAACTTAAAGCATCATAGGTGTTCTTCTTAAAACATCCTGAAAAATATATTGTTGGTACTTCCAAGCGGATTGTTGATACAATTACTACCGATAAACTAAACAGATGGGCTCGTCCTAACAAGAGTTATTAACATTTCGACATGTGACATATTTTGCAGTTCGTGCGACAGCTTTAGGTTCTTGCTTGTTCTTGGGGGGTGCACAATTCAAAATGAGTGGGTGGGTGTTATATGTATTGCAGCATTATGGTTGTTATTTCCCATGTTGTAGTAGGAGTACGAAAACTATAAATCACACAGTCCCGAGTTAAAAGGCTCATATTTGAAATGAAAAAAAGAAATATACAAAATTAAATAATAGACACGCTACACGTATGTAGGTACATGTACAATTGTGCATTGCCAGGGAGCGGTGGATATACTAGATACTTTCAACTGGTCATATCCCGTGATAGTTTCTTAGTGAAGACAGCTGTAATATAGTAGTATTGAAATGCGCAATATGTATTAAGATTAATTAGGTAAATATTTTTCAAAGCAGGCATACAAATATACTATATTGGGTTCTTTGTGGGTTCTACCGCAAACACTTGTGTTACAATTTGTTTGTGTGGATTGTTGTATTTGGTCGTTTGAGATTTCCTTCTATAGGTTGTGGGTATGATGTATTATGTAGGTAGGAAGGTGGGTGGTTAGATAGATATTCGTATATTTTGTGTTGTTCTTCTACTGTTATTTTTTTATTTCTTTCCACTGGTTTATTTTCACGTCTCGATTCTCATTTCGTTGTTTAAACAAAGAAATTAACAAGTATCTTCGTTGCGTATCGAATTAATTGAAACAAGAATAATCGCGTTAAATTACATTTGTTTTTTCACTAGTTTTGATTTTAACACACGGACGAAATTAGTGTCACACATACACAATCAATGAACAGAGAGAAGGAGGAGAAATAACAAATTTCAATTGCATTTGGTATTTAGTACAGGTTTGACAACTCCAAAAATTACGACATGCGCAGAAAAAACGACGACATAAATACTTGAAAACCGTTATGATATTGGATATTGCTTGTCGAAAATCGACAACATAAAAAAACACTTAGAATAGATTTGAAAAAATAAAGAACTTAGACTATGCCCGCTTCCTGTCAGAATTATTCAAAATTAGATGCAACAAGTTGTTTTACTCATTTTTGTGAAGCCAAAAATGTAAACGTTTTTACTAAGACAAAAAATTGAAAAACTTAGATATTAGGTGTGTCTGGTTACCCTAACATTTGTAACAATTAATACAAATTGTTACTGGAAGTCGTCTGTTAACCCGAAAGTTCTGCAAAAGAGAGCGGTTGGAGAGCGAAATTTTGACAGTTCTTTCAGTGAGAGTTTGCAAATTCTTGCTGGACAAATTTCTTCTTGCAATCTCTTGCAACTCTTCTTCTTCTCATTCATTGACATTCAATCAGATGTTTTCTATTGTTTATTTATTTCTTTTGTGATTTTAATTTGAAAATATTGTTTTGGAATTAGCAAGACTAATTGTTTTTGGAGAACAACTTTACAAAACGTGAAAAACATAAATATTAATATGTAATAAGAAAGTAAAAGACTATTTCCAACATTTTTAGACAAATGCCATTAGCAATAGGTTTAAATAATTCCGCAGAACACATCAAATCTATCTTCTTTTATTGCTCATATTTTTATTTTATTGTCAATTTCCTTATTATTCATAAAACTTGTGAAATTGGTGGTGGTTCCTTTCGTTTAATTCTTTTAATGGGAGACAAATTGGTTTGTTTTGACAAATCAGCTGATTAGTTGCAAGCTTCTGCAGGAATACCGTCTGTTTACTTTTTGCAATTTCCTTGCAAAAGAGAATAAAACTACCTTACTCTCTCAGAAAGATGTTGCTGGACAATTCCTGCAGGAAAAGTAACTAGACAGACCTATTGTTGGTGGTTCTGGAACAGAGCATTTGTTATGAAATGATAAGCCATAGAAATCACCTAAAAACATTTTTTCACAAAACATATGTGCATTTGTCAGATTTTGAAATTAAATTCCAAAACATAGGTGTGTCTGGTTACATTTCCTGCAGGAATTATCCAGCAACATCTTTCTGAGGGAGTAAGGTAGTTTTATTCCCTTTTGCAAGGAAAATGTGAAAAGTAAACAGAAGCTTGGAACTAATCAGCTGATTTGTCAAAACAAACCAATTTGTCCCCCATTAAAAAAATTAAAAGAAAGAAACTCCAATTTTACAAGTTTTATAAATAAAAAGGATATTATCAATAACATAAAAATATGAGCAATAAAAGAAAGATAGATTTGATGTGTTCGCCGGAATCCTTTAAACGTGTCGCTAATGGCGTTTATCTAAAATGTCGGAAATAGTCTTGAAGTTGAAATGCATGGCAGAAGAATACAGGTAGATGCATCAACGCTTGGGAGCATTGATATGTCAAAAAATTTTAAATGTTTTTTGAAATATGAGTAGATTTTTAAATGTTTTCTTATACTTTTTCTTTTCTTATTATATTATAATTCGAGATTTTTAACAATTTAAATAATTTTTCATTCAACATTTTCAATTCCAAAATTGGTTTGACAGTTCATTGTCCCAGCAGCTGTGTCGATGCGTCTACCTATATTCTTCTACCATGTTGAAATGCAAGGATGCAAAGAAAATAATGCAGAAGATTAAACCCGGATTAAGCAATAAATCCTGATGTGGGTTAACCCGGAAACCATGTTGTGTCTAAACGCGCTATAAGACTATTTAGAAAGTGGGAAAACTTTCAAATTTAATTCCCATCTTGAAAAACTAAAAATTTTGCATGTGATACCTAAAAAAATTGACTAAACCCTTCTACATTTTGTATAATCAGAAATTAATATAACTTGTGGGAAAGTTTGTGCCACCGACAGCAACAGTGCTGTGAACTTTATTTAGATTTTAGTATGGAATGTAATCCTATCTCTTAATGAGAAAATTAAAAATATAAAAATAAACGAGTTTCTTTTAAAATCAGTGGTGAAGTTACTTGCCTCATCTTTAATTTTGACTAATTATCCAATTTTAGGCAATGAGATAGATTTAAGGGAGGACATAACAGATGAGGTTGAATTTTATTTCATTTAGCTTAATTACCAGCCGTTCTCATAAAAACATGTAGTCTTTTTGTCTTCAGATTTGAGAAGGTTTTTCGAAGAATAAATTATATGGACATAAACGTGGACCGATATGTCCCATTTTTAATACCAATCATACTAGGAGTAATATAAATGTCTGAGCAAAATTTCAGAGCGATAGAATGCTTTCCTGAATTAATCTCCGTTTTTGGGGATCTAACCCCCCAGTGCGACGTCTAATAAGGTTGATTATAATTTTATTACTTATTTTATTATATTATAGATTATTTTATTATATTTAAAGCACCCACAACGTTTTTAACATATGTGAACGTTGTGCCATTGGTTTTTGGTATAGTTTCGATCAATTTCTTCGAAGCATTTGCCTTTGACTAAAGCAAAATTAAATGCAATAAACAAAAATGCAATGTTGTCGATTACTACGAATATCCCTAGCTGCCAACAAGTTACGAAAACCTGAATCAGCGGCAAGGAATTACATTTATTTCGCCTTTTTCACAGTTTAAAATTGCTTCCAGCAAATGGGATTGTTCACGGACGATATTCAGCCGATCCCACAAAATCGCTTTTGCTCACAAATGTTTTTATTCATAATCGACAATTAGGACACACATTTACTTTTGCGTTAATAGTTCTGCAATTTTAGTTTGGGAACAACATTCATGCTTGTTAATTCTTGGAATAACAGTTTACATGCATATGGCATAGATATTTTTGACACGTTGGCCGATGACTGACAGTAATGGCACCACGAAGAGTAGGCTAGTCGTCCACATGACTTGCACACATCTACGTCAAATGCATCCGACGATATCATTAGGCGTTCCATAATCAACATACTAGCGCCATAAGATATTAAACAATCACGTTCCATTTCACCTAAACGTAAACCACCTTCCCGACTCCGACCTTGAGTAGGTTGTCTAGTGAGCACAGCTTTGGGACCTCTTGCTCTGGCATGCATTTTATCTTGCACCATGTGCTTCAATTTCTGGTAGTACACAGGGCCTGAATAAATATAAGCTTCCAAACTTTCGCCAGTTATTCCTGAGTAGAAATAGTCCTTGCCCATGTAATTGAACCCGTTTTTAAATAATTCATCCTGAATATCCGAACATTTTGAGCCACCAAAAGCAGTGCCATAGTGAAATTTCCCCTCCAATAGACCAGCTTTTCCACCCAACAGTTCGAGAGACTTTCCAACGGTCATACGAGATGGAAACCCATGAGGATTCATTATCATGTCTGGACAAATACCAAAATCATTGAAAGGTAGATCCTCTTGGTCTACAATTAGACCAGTCACACCTTTTTGACCGTGGCGGGAACTGAACTTGTCACCGATTTCAGGTCGCCTCGTTTGTCTTAATAAAATTTTTATTAAAAAATCTTCTTCGCCATTCGCCGACACCATTACTTTCTCAATATAACTGGGTTCTGGGCCTTTGTACGAAATTGGAACAGCTGTGTAGGAAACCTGAAATTAAAATATCCAAAATAGTAGAATATAAGTAAAAACAAATGTTTACCTACCTGTGAGCTCTGTCCCGTCTGTTCGATGGGATTAATCGAAGTTACGGCAGGCATTTCTTTGTTGATTAAAATTTGTTTATTCACCACCATCTCTCCAGGGGCAACTATGCCATCCGTATCTAAGGCATCATGTTTAAAAATAACTTTATTCGTTAGAGCATCTTTCATAGGTCCCATAATCCGGTCGTATGTCTGATTGGCATACCTTTTGACAGTACATTTTGAATTTTTGTATATAAGACATCGGCCATAACCTCGGTCAATTGAAGCTTTATTAAGTATAAGCGCATCTTCAATATCGTAACCAGAATAACTCATGACGGCAACGGTGGCGTTCTGACCGGCTGGTAACTTGTCGAATCCCGTCAATTCAATGGTCTTTGATTTTACCATTGGAGCTTGTGGATAGACGAGGTTGTACATGAGCGTATCTATGCGATTTTTTTGGTTATATCCAATAACGCCCATCGCTTGTTTGCCCATAGCACATTGGTAGGTATTACGGGGACTCTGGTTGTGATGCGGGTATGGAACTAATCCAGCACAAACTCCAAGCAACGTGAAGGGTTCTATTTCCAAATGTGTTGTTGTGTCAGGATCAATGTCGTTTTCGTTCCAGGCAATGAATGAATCGTTCTCTTCATTTACATCCAAATATTCTACGAGGCCATCGTGGAGGAAATCTTCGAATTTGCGGATGCCCCTCTTTAGTTCCTCAATGTGGTGCTGTTTTACAGCTGGCTGGCCTTTTCGGACAATTATGTAAGGTCGACACAAACGACCCCCATCAGTATGAATATATACACACCTTTGAGTGTGAGACGTGTGAATGGAAACGAAGGGTCCCAGGCGACCTTTACGTCTCATCATACGGAATACTTCTACTAATCTTTTGTAACTGATTGTTAAGCCTAAAATGTTACCATTGATGAAGACGAGAAATACCTTGGAATTATTAATGGCGTCCCCACCGACCAGACGAATGTCCTCTACACCCGCATTGAAGGCTAAACGGACTACTGGTTCTTCCTCAACTTCAGTGGTTATGTGAGTCATTAAAGCCAGGTTTTTGACAAGACCACAAGCTTCACCTTCAGGTGTGTCAGATGGACACAGCATACCCCACTGACTGGGTTGTAAAGAACGAGGGCCCGATACTTTTCGAGTTTTTTCGAATTGAGAATTTACCCTTGTCATCATTCCCAGGGCGGATATGTAGCTTAGTCTAGAAAGAACTTGTGTAACGCCAGCTCGCTCCATCTTGAAACGTTTAATGGTCCAATTTCCTGACGATATAGCTGACTCCAATCCAACTGTTATTTGCGCCGCTCTAATATGCTTCACCACATCGAACTGAGCGGCCTTCACCTTGGGAATATTTTTGTCTGCTATCATTTTAAGCTCCCAATTCATACGCTTAAATAAATCCTCAAACATCAGGGATATTAAAGACCCGGCCAATTCCAAACGCTTGTTACCATAGTAATCCCTGTCGTCCACAGCCGAGGCATCCAATTCCGCAGCCATAACGCGCCTGACCATAAGTGAAACGTAAATAGATTTTATTTGAAAATTAAAATTTTCCACAGGCACGTGGGCCAAAATTGTAGTTGTAAGCAGTTCCCTTGCTTCATCAGCTGGTGTTTTACTGGCAGTGGTTTGGAATCGTTTTACCATCAGTTTTGAGCCCATATATTCAAGAGCACGTTGCTGTGTAAAGATCTTTAGATTGAAAGCCTCGAGGAGGGAAGGTGCGAATCGGTTTTGTGTTTCCGTACTTGTGCCAATTAGGGACATAATCTCAAGATCTGACACTACTCCCATGGCTTTAAAGATGACAACTATGGGAATGTCATCTACCATTGAGTTGTGTTTCAAATAGTATTTACCGTGTTTGCTGAGGACAACAGTTCTTGATTTCTTTTCATGAGTGGAAGAGGTGACCTGGCACTGCACAGTCCCATTGAATTCTTCTGTGATCATCTTATTCCATGACAACTGTTCTTGAATGAGGATAACTTTCTCTTGTCCCCTTACTACAAAATATCCACCAGGATCCAAGGGACATTCATTTAACTTTGCCAATTCAAATTCTGATTTGCCAGTGAGGACACAGTTAGAGGATCTCAACATGACAGGCATTCGTCCAATCAGTAAATTATTCCTAACTATCCTCTGTGCTCCGCGCGTGTATTCGATGTCCACTGTAATAGGGGCAGAATAGGTAGTGTCTCTTAAGCGACATTCATGTGGCGTTGTGGCTTTTGTAATGTTGTAGCCATCTTCAATGTCTGGTGTACCAACCCGTACATCCAAATACTTGAGATAAAACATCGGATCAGCATCACTCAGCACCGTTTGGTTAGCTTGCACAATTTTTTTAATATCCACATTAACAAAATGATTAAAGGAGTCGATGTGCTGCTTTACTAAGCCCTTAACCTGTAGAAACGCAGGCACGAGTTTCCATTTTTCTTCTAACGGTTTGATGGGATTCGGCCAATTTTTCTTATCACTATCCCATCCGACGTCTTCCTCAGTGGTTGACATTTGATCCATATTTTCAAAATAATGTTCAGATCCCTCAGATCATCACAACTCCACACTTTGAAATAGAAAACAGTCAAGGACCGGGGATGCAATCGCTGACACTACCGATAGTTTCTGTGAAACATTTCATTATCGATAGTACCCATATGTTTTAACTGTCCAAATCAATAGATGGTAATCGAATAATATTTGCGCCTGGTCACTTCTCACAAACTCTGCGTTTTCAAAAGACATAGAAGTGAGTTAATGCGTTAATTATCTAAATAAAAAAATTGTATTTCAATTTTAATATACGAAAGTCTAAAGGGCTAAGTACATAAGAAGCTTGAAGTCATGGCTAGGCATATTTTGTAATATTTCATAAAGGGATTACAGAGCCGCACTAAAATCCAGCCGTCGTTTTCCATTATAATTTGACATTAATATGCCTAGCCATGACTTCAAGCTTCTTATGTACTTAGCCCTTAATAAATTATCTATTTCGTAAATTTAAAATTTGTAAAATTTGTACACTTGCGAGACATTGGAAATAACTGACTACAGGTTCAAAAAAGATTTTTAATTGAAAACATATTAGAGAATAATATTCATGGTCTATTGCATACTATTTTTCTTATTATTACAAAAATAATCGAACGAAGTTAGAAGTAAATGAAAATGTGGAATTAGATTAGTAATCATTCGTTCGATTTGATGATTTTTTTTAGTTCAGTGAACTATAATTCAACTAGTTCTAAAGCTCTCTTTAATGAATCATTCAGTCGAACTAGTTCGTTCGTGTAACAACGCTCCTAATAAACCTTCAGCTTGGATTTAACAGGAGTTCGTTCCCAGTTATCTGGAAAGGAAATAATGTTGAAACAACATGTTTTAGTAGAACTAAGACAATTCATTCAGTCTGTGTCCACCATTCATCGCAGCAGTTCTAATTTAACATCAATTGGCCTGATTAGAGCCTCGCTACATTTGCTAGATGATCTACCATCGTGCAGAGAAATTATTTTCGAATACTTTGCCTTGGTGGCTGAGGTAGGTGTCCAAAGCTATGTGAATACGGCGAATGTGGACCCACAAACAGGGTTGATTATACAGCAGCCGCAAAAAATGGCCGGAAATCAGCAGCAACAGCAGCCTGTCTCCCAGGAAGATCCGTGCTTCGAAATGATACAGCAAGCTCTGGATAATATGGTGAGCAAAGGTCCAAGTGCATGGGCAACGGTCATTGCGTCGTGGAGCCTAGAACTGGTAGGGAGCTTGTCTGATAAGTATAGCAAAAGAATGCCGATTGGTGCAGCTTGTAATTATTGGCTAAACTGTTCAACCATGCGGGGACTGCTTGCATTGGTTAGTGTTTGTTTTCGAAAATTGACGAACGCCGAAGCAGAGTCATGTGTGGAGACTTTATTAGGTAGGTGCTTCAACAAACATCATATTATATTGTGTTATTATTGATGTTTTAATTCCAGCTGCCTATCAACGATATTCAATGACTTTTGATTGGGTAGTGGCTCGCCTGGGAGGATGTTTTCCCTCTAAAATCATATCACAAATTCTGCAATGCAGCCTTAAACGATTTTCAGAGAATTATCCTTGCCGATTCGACTCTGAGATAGGTATTCTTGAGTACCTATGTTTTGCTCACGAACAAGTGCTTCGAGTTTGCGTTAGAGATCTGTTAGAGGATGGTTTTCAACCTAAGAAAAAGTTAGACGCTTTAATAGTACCCTTTGTGTTGGAATTTTGTAATTATTCGGATATATTGCTGCAAAATACTGTTAGCGTTTTTCTTGAAATGTGTAAGAAGAACTTATTTGGAAAATCATATGAGTAACTGACCTAATTCTTTTTCAGATAACGATGAATTACGTTGTAATATCGCCCAGAAGGCGCCATTGTGGATGGCAAATAGATTATTTGCAGATATGCAACCATCTCTAAACAATTTAATACTACGACTTAAAATGAATGGTGCCAAAGCTTTGATTACTGTATCAAAAATGTCGGAACAATATTCGTGGTGCCAGGACTTCTTAGAATATTCACTCCAGGAGCTGGAGCAAATTGTACTGAATGCTAGAGTTTGCCCTTTAATGGACGATTTGGCAACAGAGGAAACGAAATACATGTTATGGAAAAGCTGTTTGAGCACAAATATTTATGAACAACAAACTGCTGTACGTCTTCTACTAGTTGTTTGTATGTATTTAATGTCAGTGTACTATGTAATCCGTACAAACTACTCTATTGTCTCCTCCATCATTTAGCTACACAACACAACCATATATATTATCAGACAATATCAGAATTACTGCGTAAGAGTTACGCCCTTAATTCGTCTGGCCTGGGTGCCATAGTAAGGATGATTGGTGGTCAATCAGGCGTGGTTGAGTTCCCAGAAATAAAATCAGGCATTCAAATGGTCCTGGAAGATGCTCTACTGCAGGAACAGCTGAAAAAAGCACGTCTAACAAAGTCCTTCGATGAGTCTGAGGCCCTCAATATATTTAAAAATTTAAATACGTTAACGAAGCAAGTCAAAATTCAATAATAATTAATACATTACTTTTATATGCATTGATCACATTTAACTTATTTTTTTATTTTGCTTATAGAATGGAAAAGAAAAATAACTTCTGTTGTATAAAACAACATCAGCTAAGATCAGCTTTAAATGAAAGCCTGCCGAAAATTTTGCAAATACTGGAAGTTACATTGGAAAAACTCGTATTAAGGATGGATGCAGAAGCTTCTGTGCGCAGTGAGGAGAAGTTTCGTGATCTCCAGAACCAAACAAACAACAACACCATTAACGTCTACAATTCACGCAAAAAGCCAAGGCTTGGAATTGTAGCAGATATTTGCGAAGAGGAGGAAGAAATTGATTATATGTCAAAACGTCTAATGTTGGCACACACAATTATAGACATATTGAACACAATTGAAGCGGGTTCAAAGTCGCAAGTTATAAAGACCACCGAGGTACCACTACTCATGTCTCCAATTATATTGTCATGTATTAATGTGCGTTATTTTTATTCCTTACAGATATTAAAAATGGCCATACTGAGCGTTAAGTACTTTTATATTAGTCTAAATGAACCAAGTAAATGTGAAATATTGTTATATTCAAGGTACTTTATAAGATTTATCTCTAATACAATTCTTAAAATTCACAGGTACAACCGAACGTATGGCCGCCATTAACCGCGTGTTAGTTTTACTCCAACGTCAGTGCAGAGCACGAAAATCGTCCCGTTCCGCTTGCCTAAGAGAACTTGTTGAGGGTGCACTCTTTTATTACGGTTATTTATTTGGCCAATATGAAGATCCTCCCATGGACGAGCTATTGATCCCCGAAAATGAAATGATTATAGTACAAAATCAAAAACAGTCATTTGGGCCAAATTCTAATCGGTCTATTCTGCATGCTGGGGTCATTGGTCGTGGTCTAAGGCCCGAAAATGCTTTAGCCGGGGAATTATGTCCACCTGAAGCGCAAACACTGCTTCTAAAAGCGTTAGAAATGTGTTGTTCCGACATTGTGGGTTATTGAAATTCGGAATATACCTATACCAGAATATTAAAATTAATGTTTAAATTTGTTTTACAGGATCGTCAAGTCGCAATCGAATCCTATTCGACAATTTCACTGCTTCTGGTAGAAATGGTATCAACCGATGTAATGTACAATGGACTTCCATTTCCGGACGAAGAATTTACTAAAGTAACAATGGAAAGGGACCTACTGATTAGGAGAGCTTTCATTACATCTCCCATATTGTGGTCTTTACTAGGCTTTATATCGACACATCGACCAGCTTTGTGTTTCTCTTCCGTATTATTGAGAGCACTGTGCGCCACGTGTTTGCACCAATGGAGGGCAAAAAACGGTATGTTCATCCAACAATTAAAAACATCCAACATCGTTGATCATATGCTCTTATTCCGCAGTCAATAAGTTTGAAACAAGTAACGCAAGTGGTGAACTCATGGAAACAACAAAGAATCTTTTAAAAATTCTTGCAATGGGGCAGTTGTTGCCGCCTCCTCTTTCTAATCTCCACAATATCATTGAACACTTCGAACCACAAGAGGTTAGAGAGTATTCACTGTCGAAGTTGACAAAATTTGATGTAATGTTGTTATTTTTAGATTGCCCTATTACTTAAGGAGTGCGTGTGGAGTTATATGAAGGATAATGTACCGTCTCCTGCTCAATTTCACGTCGATAACAATGGACTGCAATGGCGCAATTCTCAGTTGTGTAAAATTCCACCACAGTACGTGGACACATTGCGGAATCTGATGCAGAAAAAACTTTCAAAATTAGGTCAACACTACTATCAAATGTTTATTATGCCCGAGTATGTTTCAAACGGCATGTCTCAACTTCACAATGTTCCAGCAAGCATAAACCCCACGCTATCGGATCATGCGATTGAAATATAAACAGATTACCAAAACTCCAAGTACTTATTTTTTATAAATTGTAATTGTAAGTATATTCGATCGTTATTGACAGCAGTCATGAGTAAAATTGAAGCAAGTTTAAAGGGGTGTTTTAAATGAACCAATTTCCCTCACTTTTATGTTATAATTTTGTTTTGCAGCATTTTACACAGTCAATTCAATCTAATTTGTAATGTGTTTTTTATATATTACACACAGACCATGTTTGAATAGTATCTTTGTTCGCAGTAATTTATAATTCAGGCCAAGTCACTTTTGACTTTCTTGCAATTTCATTGTTTTATTGTTTCATCTATCAACTATGCAGTAAATAAAAAGTTTAACAACTTAAAAATATACACAAATTATTTAGTCTAATCGATGGTAGATATAACTAAATAAATACTATAACAACAAAGAAATATTGTAAATCGAAATATTCCAATTAAGGAGCCAACAAAAGTAAGAAAATTAAAAATAACTACGCTTCACCTGAAATTGGGAAAACATATAAACTACTGCATGGGCGTGCATTAAAGAAGTGACATGTGTTTGGGTATATCTTCGATAATTGCCACGGGTGCACATATTCATTTTGTTTTCCATTGCCAAATCCTAAGAGGGACGACAGTTAGATAACTTTCGCACAGAAATACATGAGGTAAGTTTTTTTGCTCGTCTTTTCAATGAGGATGACTTTTTCTCCTTGGTGTGGTGGGAAGCAGAATTGGAACAAGATTGTGCATTGTGATAGTTACTCGATGAAGCTGCCATTGTTGCAAAAGAATTGTGCTGTTGCTGAGCTTTAATTTCTGCGGCGGCAGCGGCAGCTTTGCGTGCTAACTCTTCTGCAATAAATAAAGGTTAATAATGTAGGATAAAGTTATACAAAAAATAAAAAATAAACATACGGTTTAGGTCATGTTCGGTAAAATATACTTCTTCCAAATCACGATCAGTTTCGTAATGGTAGGCATCCAAATAAGGCAGTACAGTAGAGCGTCGATATTTATCACTTTTTAGTGGCGGAATGGGTATCGGTGGTCCCTTTTCTTCGGGTGCCGAAATGAACCAGCTGCAAAAATGTTGGCAATAATAATTTTTAGGCTTTAGCATTATAATTTGAATGTGTACCACAAAACATGTTTTTAATCGTAACGATAACGTGGACTATAACCACCCAAAAATGGAATTTAAATAGTTATAAAACTAATCATTAGAAAATTTGTAAGGAAGGAAATCCTCCCCACTCTTAACTCAGTATAAAAGGCTTCTGCTTGGAAAACCAAATTAGGGACATTTCATTAATATGCATTTGATTGATGCAAATAAAAAGATTAAAAATTATTTTTAAGAAAATTTAATGTGTCCATGTAGGGTATATGTAGAAATTAGCAATTGGTCTGTAGAGAAGTAAGAGTATTCTAAAGAATTAGAGCCACAAACAAAATTATGCATAATTTTTAAAAGCCTTTGGCTCCTTATTGGCATCTGATATAAATTGACATAAATGCGCATTTAGTTGCCTTTTCGTTTGGTTTTGTGTAAATAACAAACTTGAACCACATTGCCGTAATAATGAGGAACTTATGGAAAAATAGAACATTTGTTATGTTATTCACTAGGTACAACTTTTTCCGAAGTAGTTAAAATTCAATTGTGTTACTTACGGATCTTGCCTTATTTGCTGTATAGAATAACGTTCCTCCGGGTTATCCTGTAGCATCCCAAGGATTAACACAGCAAGTTTCTCATCTAGCTTGTATAGCCAATCGGGGGCTTCCCACTGTCCGCGACCAATGCTTTCAAGTAGGCGATAAATATTGTCGCCATCGAATGGATATTTTCCTGTGCATAGGTTATAACTGCAATGAAAGGCTCGTTTAATACTAAAATTCACTTTTTTGAATGTCTCTTTTGATTTACAGAGTAACTCCACTGCTCCAAATGTCAACTTTTGTACCCGAAAATGATTCCAGGCCATTGGCGATTTCTGGAGGCTGGAATGCCGGAGACCCTTGTCCCGTTGTGCAAGTATCGTCTGGAGCAAACAATTCCAGTTGCTCAGCAACTCCAAAGTCCGATATTTTTAGGGTCTCATCTAAAGTCAGCAGTAAATTACCTGGTTTTATGTCCTTGTGTATTACTCGCATGCCATGCAAATATTCTAAGCCATTTATTAGTTGGCGAAAATATCGATGGGCTTGATATAATGGAATTTTCTTTTCAGGGGCATTGTCGAGCATTTCCTAAGGAAGATTCACTACTTAGTAAACGACAGTTTTCTTTTAAGGCGGTGCACATACCTGGAGGCCTCCAACACAATATTCCATTATTAGATACATCTTCTGTTTCTCGTCGTTGTACAAAACATCTAATAGAGCCACTACATTTTTATGCTTCAATTGTTTTAATAGCTTAATCTCCCTCTGTACGTTCTGTTCACCATTAGGTATGCGCCTCAACTTGCGCCTAGTTAATATTTTTACCGCTCTTCGACACAGATTCTCTGAATCAAGGACCTCTTTTACTTTGCCATAGGAACCTTCTCCTAGCACATCACCCATCACATATTTGCCAACCATTTTAATGTTTTTCTTTTTCTGTTGGTATATAATTTCGGCACTGTCCACACGGTTGAACATGTTTCCCATATCCAATGTTGCCAAATCAAGGTTGTCAATATCTAACCACGTCACTTGGTGATGGTGTGTCTGTTGTTCTTCGAGCAGGTATTGGGCTGCTTCATCTCCATGCAAGAACTGCGGCTCCCGACCTTTCTCCCCGCAAAAGTGATCGTCTTCTTCTGCATTTGGATATGTATCTATGTGAAATTTATTATTAGCCATAATTAGAGTTGAGCTATCGCCGCCAGCGGCAACTGATTTTTCAAGATTCCTTCCTTGATGGCGGCTCTGTCTGTCCCCATTGTCGAAAGTGGTACTTGGCGGTGGAGTTACTGCCACTTGATCATGACCTTTTACTTGCACTTCCATGGCGACATGGGTGATAGTCATTTGTTTTATATTTCCCGCACGTATCCCGATGTCCTCTAAGGTTTGTGCTGACTTCCAGTCCAGTCAAATTGTCAATTGTGCTAAATGAAATGTCAAAATTAATGCTTGAAGCGAAAATAAATATTTTCGCCTTGACAGAAGAATTTTGTGGCGAATATGTTTGTTGTCATTTTTTTTTGTATAACAGTTCTGCCATGATCCAAGTATAAGGTCCCCCTTACAGCTCAGCTGATTACCACGCGATCTGTCAATTAAATTTGAATTCGCTGCTACTAAAACAAACTTCAAAACTATAGTAGAAGAATACAGGTAGTCGCATCGCATAGCTCCTGGGACAATGAACTGTCGAACCAATTTTTAAATTGAAAATTTTAAATGAAAAGTTATTCAAATTTCCAAAAACTGTTGAAAAATACATATCAACAACCTACGATTGGTGTCGTATAAGAAAATTTATAAAATAAAAAAAAAAAAAAAAATAAATAAATTTTCTACAGCAGTAGAGCTTTTATACCATGGTAGAAGAATATAGGTAGATGCATGAAGGCTTGGGAACATTAATATGTCAAAATTGTTAAATTGTTTTTTTTAATAGGTACATTTTATAAGTTTTCTTATACGGCACCAAACGGAGGTTGTTATGATATGTATTTTTCAACAATTTTTACAAATATCAACAATTTTACATTCAACATTTTTAATTTCAAAATCAGTTGGTCAGTTCATTGTCCGAGCAACTGCGTCGATGCGTCTACCTGTACTTTTCTACCATGATTTTCTATCAGATTTTCTCTCAAAAGTATGAACCAAACTGTTTAATCGACCAATTTCATGGCTAAACTGGTTAATAGCTTTATTGCGTGAGCCGCAATCTATGTGGCTTCCAATCAACGGTTTTGAAAATATTTTGTTTTTATTTTTCAAAATACACAATACAAATACAATACATGCACAAAATTGGCATCAGTCCGCCATTTAGAAAAAATTGTATCAGCCAGGAGCTATACGATGCGACTACCTGCATTCTTCTACCATAGCTTTGAAGTTTGTTTTTGTTGCAGCGAATTTAAATTTAATTGCTGCGAGGAGTTGATTGTCGTCTCTGCTTCAAGCGCGTTGGAAACAAAAATGAAAAACGTCCCAACGAAACGAATATGAAGGCCACAAAGGAATACCCAATAAAAAACAGAAAACAAAGACTCGGGGTACTCTGTTGTTTACGAATGAGTGTAATGCATAACGCCCGGGTACTCTTTGTTTACGAATGAGACATGAGAAAATTGAACATCTTCACTAAAGAGCGCGGAACATGGTAGAAGAATATAGGTAGACGCATCGACTCAGCTGCTGGGACAATGACCTGTCAAACCAATTTTGGAATTGAAAATGATAAATGAAAAATTATTTCAATTTATAAAAATTGTTGAAAAACGCATATTATAATAACCTCCGAATGACGTCGTATGAGAAAACATATAAAAATCTGCTTATATTTGAAAAGACATTTAAAATATTTTGACATATCAATGTTCCCAAGCGTTGATGCATCTACCTGTATTTTTTTACAATGAGCGCGGAACTAGCTACAAAGGTGGTTTACACACCATTGAACAAAGCGGTGCAGGCACTTGGATTGGGCGGGAGTTGCAGGGAAAATGCGTGGTACAATTAAATGAAGGTAACCCCATTTCAAATTATAAGGCCCATCTCTAAATATTCTGCCAGGTATTTTACAATAAAGCTGAAAGGATGGGAATAGTATAAGAACCTGCAGAGGAATTCTTTAATTCATTTTTGAATTACCGACCAAAATCGATAACTTTCAAAGGCTAATGGTTTCGGTAGTCGACTTTTAGTATTCAAAGTTCTGGAACTTGAACTCAAAGTCGATATTCGATTTTTTCCAAACTTGCTAAAGCCAATTGTTGACAAATTCGAGTTTTCACTTTAAGAACAAAATCGATACCTCGAGACTTTCCATTACCTATCCCTAGTGTCGTTTTGGAACGAACTACTTCAAAAGAACTATTCTTTGCTTCGTTCCATCTTTTTTAAAATAAAAAAATGAATAAAATGGAAAAAATAAAAAATTATATGCATGGCTTTCCTTTGAATTGTTCCGTTTAATGTTCAGGGTGCAAACAGGTCGTGTAGTAGAAAGAAAAGCTTGCATTGTGATTGTCATGCTGTCAATGTTTTTGTTTAAGTTTTAGTATGATTAATTCACAATTGTATGAATTTTGACAATACGGATGACATCAACTGGTCTTGTCTGATGAACTTATTCAGTGTAAAGAGTGATAAAAGAATACCAATTTATAAAGAATTTTGAAATTTTTGGCATATCATTGTTCCCAAGTGTTGATGCATCTACCTGTATTCTTCTACCATGATAGCTCCATCATCTGGTATAACCTTCACACAGCTCTACCTGTCGATATTCGTTGTTGAATGATGCAAAAGTAACAAAAAACATTTTCAAATTGATGTAGATGTGACTTTCAAAAAGAATATATCAATTGATGCCCGTAATATTACGTTTAGGGCATTAAAGGTCTGGCAACACAGTTAGATAATTAAATACTTGTGGGGTGCTTTGTGCTCGTCGGAATAAATAAACAAGAATTTTCCAGTTGTAGTAATTAATTTAAAATAATAGCTATATTTCCTTTAAATTGGAGCACTTACAACTGCAGGGTGCATAAAAATATTTGTGATACAAAATAAATCAAAATATGTACAAATGTATTTGTGGTGTCACTAATTGGTGAGTTCTCTTTATTTTTTTGGTTTTCCATTGCACTGGCATTTATGGTACACAAAACAAGGCAGACCATCATAGTTACCAATAAACTATGATTCAGATGTACCAAAAATGCTTATTAAAACTGGTAAACATGCAATTTATTGTGATTGGTCGATTTCCAGGGTTTACCCAGGTACTTTTATGTGAAGAAAAATTTTAGCCATTTTATGTCGAAATTGCTTTGCGCCTTGTTTGCTTAATTAGAGTTATAGATTTGCATTTAATTATTTAGGCGGTCGCAAAAATGACGAAGGAAAGTTTTTAAAAGAATGAACAATAACTGCCAAAAGATATGGATGTTTCACATTACGTCTTCCTCGCAATATATTTAATTTTTTATTTGTATTTAATTCTTGGTCTGTACTTAATTTACGTTAATTAATTTCATAATTTAGATAAATATACAATTTTTTGCAAGGAAAAATGCTTTGGAACATTTACGCTACACAGAAATGTTTTTTTTTGACTTATTGTTCCTGATCATTTATTACGAGCGAATAACGGTTTTCGTCAGTGAGTGTCTTCCAACGCGTGCGATAGTGCTTGTTTGTAAATGTTGAAAGATTGAAAAATCGAAAATCCTAAAAGTGCCGACTACTAGTACACTTACCCTAGTTAACATTTTTTATTTTTAAAATAACTTCTGGGGGGAATATCCCAGAAAAAAAGGGAACTGATGAGGATTGGTGGCTCTTTCCGAAACCTAGGTATTCCCTGCCTTACCCCCTGAAGTTTTGATTACTTATAGCGTGTTTAGATACACAATTTTATCCGGGATAACCCATATTATCAGGATTTTTTGCTTTGTATTTAATAAACCCAGTGGCATGGTACAATTAGGAGGTAGAGCAGATTCGTAAAATTACCAAAACACGACCATAAGGCTGAGTCCCTTTCTTCAAAGAATATTTATGGTGACAAACGTCAATTGTTGTTTATTTTTTTTCAATAACTAAATTAGAGAACAATTTTTTGGAATATTAATTTGAAAATCGTGTTATAAATTACTTTTAATAACTACTCTTGTTGGGGTTTACTAAATATGTCTTGCTGAAGATGTCAACTGATGATGGTTTTAAAGAGAAGGAATGTTTCAGTAACGTTGGGTTTTCCATATTCAGACAGAATGGTATATGGTTGCCATTATGGGATATCGTAAATACTTAATTGCATATTGCCTGCAATTGTGCTATGCGACACTTTAATTGCGGAGGTAAAAATGGGTTGAAGATAGTTATTTCATTGAAGGAGTAGTATTTCTGTTTTCTTTCGATGGCATCGATGGTTTCAATAGATGCATGTTTTCCTGAGTTATATATGTCTTAATTTTGAACTTGAGCCAGTCAATTCGATAGAGTATAGTTTTATTATCATATATTTAAAAAAAAATATTTTAAAACTCTTATATTGGGAAAACACAAGAATGAAATTTCGGGGTTATTCAACAATATTGAATCTAAAATAGTAGGACAATATAGTTTTATCACAAAATTGTTCAATTTGTTACCCCTTTCGCCGCAAATCTGCCTTTATTTCGCAATCAAATTCGAAATAATTTTAGTACACGCGACCAGGTTCAGTCCAGAAGTATATCTTTCATATATATTCTCGTTCGATTTCAATTTCATTGTGCGCGGCATGTTTACTATTGGTCCAAATGGGATGGATTTCGATACATTCGAGTGAATTCAAACCTGAAGAAAATACTTCAAATTTGGTAAAATCGCTTCTGATACACCTATAGTTCCCATATATTTTCTTCGTCCGATTTGGTGTTTAAGTCTCTCACATTTGTAATATGCTCTCCACAACAATGATATTTAAAACCAGATATCGTATATATTGTGGACCAAATATGTAATATCAGACCAAATTGGTTAGATTTTTTCACATTCAGCTGAAGTTATCCTGGACGCAAATATGTCATTTGTTGAAACTCAGTTCCCATACATCTATTGCTCGATAGAAGACTAAAACTTTGCATATGCAGGCTATTTTAATCGGATTGATTCAAATTTCGTATTCGAAATTTGTAATGGTACTACAGTCTATGCCTAAAAATTTCATATGCAGGTCCACGTCATCGTATAGCCTCCGTATAAAAGTCATCGTTTACATGGAAAATTCGAACTTGGATGCTTTTTTACTTGTTTCAATTATCTTCAGGAACACTTCACAAATCACCAGTAGGAATACGACAAAACAACATTTTTTTATTCAACAGATTTCTGCCTTACGAATGACTTTATTTATTTAATTATTTAATAATAACATTAAGAACTAAATTGTACACCAAAATATGAATTTATCCTAAAGTCGAAGAGTAGGGAATATGGGTTTGTGTTTTTTTAGCTTTACAATTGTTCGTAATTAAAGACTAGTTTAGACTTAAACACAGTGTTTGGGCTGACGAAGTTGGACTCTTTGCAGTGCCTTGTCCCGTCTGTGAGGGAGGAAGATGGACATGGGACACACTGCACAACAAGGCTACAAACTGCTTGTGGCGCCGTTCAACGGAGCCTTTCAAGGATGCCATCACTGGACCGAGCATCGCCTTCGCAATTCATATATACACGAACTTGCCTTACATACATAATACTAAATAATATTCTACATACGTACATACATATTTACATCAAAAGTGTTGAAAACAAAAAACAAAAACAAAAAAACCATAAACTAATAGAGGAATGATCACCAGCAGGTCAACTCACAACTCGGGAATATGTTCTCCGGCGATGCATTCCCCAGCACACGTCCATGTGCTGCCTACATAAATTTACATACATAGATCCCAGAACCGCCATTCATCGAAGGGCGCCTCTGTAGCGTATAGACACTAGCAATTCGAATGCAGTACTGAAAACTGAAAAGTTTGACGGCTTCAAGTCTCATCTCACTGCTAGGCTTTAAAATTCGTTCTTATATGTATGGGTACACTAAACTAAAATGTGTCACTGTCGGATGGAACAGCGACCATGTTGTACGCGAACGAGCTGCTGTGTACGCTCGTCCTCGATGTTCGAAAGCTAGGGAGTAGTTAACGGTAGAGTTTGGACGCAGGCCGATGCAACGTTAGTTGACCTTCTTTTGACTTAATGATGGCAGGATATCCTGGCTGTTGTGGTTGTTGTTCACTTCCAAAGACTTTGGCTTCTGCAGGGATTCGCTGGCGCAGGTTGCTGCCTGGTTGGCTGCTGCAAGGGCCGTAGTGTTTTTGCCTTTTTTGTAGGCCTGTATGTAGAAGTTCATGAAGAGGCAGAAGAAAATCGAGGAGTTGAGCAGCAGCAAGCTGGAAATGAATTTGGAGAACTGGCACTGTTGGCTGAAGAGGGCGCGAATGGTGTGAATGATGCAGAGAATGAATTGAGCCTGAAAGAAATGTGAAACGAAAAATGTAATTAAGGCCACAAATGAAGTAACAACAATTTCGGAAATAAAGCCGGTCTTTAATTTTTCGAGACCCATGTCTTATCATATTTGAAAATTAAACCTGCGTGCTGGAAGTGTGTATGGGCAAATAGTTGAATTACAGATTGTTGCAAAATTTGGCCTCCCTTGCAAATAGACACTTTCGAATCTTTCACAACTTTATTTTGGGGGAAATAATATTTTTTCTGACGCACACACTTACATGCCAGCGATGTGTGTTTGTCAAGCAATGAACGACATTGCAAAATATAATTAAGCCGTTCCGCTTAAAAATCGTAAATTCCTAGGATTGTGTTTGGGCTGTTGCCAAGTTCACCTCTGGCGAGGTTGCGACTTCATTAAACACACATTCGTACAAATACATTCTGAATTGGGAACTTTGTACTCTTCCGTTAACGAAATTCCAGAAAAAAACATTTGCGGAATTACCGTTTTTGCCAGAGCTAACCTGTTACCTGAGAACCTGAACTGTTCAAATGACGCACATGAAATATTTTGCATTTTAAAAGGTGGCGTGTTGAGAAGTTTGGCTGATTTTAATTGTGGGAAACCCAAGCAACACTGGAAAGACGAATGTACGTTGTCGGCCAATCGGTCGGATCGGAGTGCTATTGCCCTTCATCATATTCGGGTCGTGTTCAATTCTGGGTCCTCTCTGACCTTGAATCCATGAAAATGCTCCACTCACCCACAATCCACAAATCGGGGTACATACAGGTGAAATATTGTTGACAATATCGCTATTTAATCCAAACCACAGTACCGATTGCGATGTTCCATTGTGTAGCACACAAACACACACACAGACATATATACATCATAGTCGCCTCGCTTATGAGTGACCTACAAAGCAGTTCGTTGGTCAACAACTAAGCAGTGCAACAAGTTTCCATTGCCGCTCTGCCATAGTTTCGGCTTCTTGTTGCTGCTGAAGCGAGAATGTTGCAGCCGGCGCATACCCAATAACACAGCAGTGGCATGTTTATCCATCGGTCGGTCGTTCGTTCGGTCGGTGTGACTGTCGTCAATCTGCCAGCCCAATGAAGTAACAACTGATATTAAGCATGTGTTCGAGCTTTCGTATATTCTTGACTCGACGGCTTCACTTTGCAAATAGTTGCAATCGACGTCAAAGACGCGGTGGAGAAGGTGTAATGATGTCGGGTCACATGTAAAGCGTTTCTCATTTACAGAATTTTAGAAATAAGGTTGTTGGCTTTAGTCAATTCGCTGTTGTGGGCAAGATTCCAAAATGTATGATAGAACAGACTCCTTTTCGCTGATCCAAGATTCGAAACACGATTTCGACTTGTTGACATTTCTGAATAGTTTATGTTCGTGTGTTTCGCATAGAATGGAATTTATAAAAAAGTTGGACTTTTCAGGAGAGCCATCATAGACTTTTTAAATATTTGTTCTACCAAAGTTTGTTGGATTATTTTATATTTATTTTTTAACATGCAAATAAATGAATACCAAGAGAACATTCTGCAAAACATTTTTGCAAGGAAATAGCCAACTCTGATGCCGTACAGTTTTACCAAAAATATCGACCCTTGGATACACCCTATGGTCTTTGACCCCTGCCTTCCCCAATTGCGAGGGTATATTCAAGTCGGTGACCACAGCACCATTATCTAACATTGTTGTAACTTTGAATGTGTTACGTTAGCAAGTCTTGTTTGTCTTGTGTCTAGCTTGACTCACTGATCTGCTAAGCTGGAGGCGGCATAGCTAATGCTTGAGCGTCTGTGTGGCTGCGCAGCACTCAAGTGGCACGAGAGCTTCAAAATCAGTTTGTCGACCGAGTGGAATTGTTTATAGTTTAATATCGGCGATGTAAAGAACGTGGTTTTACTATTTTTCCTTCCATTTTTGCACAGACTGCAGCTCATACTCATGCATGAAGACTACGGAGCTGGGTGAGAGAGCGCGGGCTGGGGAGTAGCAGGTTCGCTGCTTTTCCATTATTTCCCAATAGATTTCAATTTCAAGTTTTATTCAAACATTCAGACAGCAATGGAAACGTTTTGAAAACGTAATTTATATCTTGCGCTTGGCTAATTTGAGTTTCAGTTCTGTGTATGTTTGCTTCGTAATAATATTGAGCATTCTCTAGCAAATTAGCACGATTTAAAGTATTTGCATTTTGCCGCAATTTTGTAATAGATTTCGATTTCAGTAGTCGTGACCGTTGGCCCAGAGAGGAGCAGCATTAGCCAACAGGTTTTATTTAGGAAAAAAATCTCCGGGGATATTATATTTTATAGTCCATAGGCACATGTTGAAATGGGTTCTTCGGTCACATAAATGGGTTGGATTTAGGTCCAACATCACCACCAACGATATTTTTCGGTTAGCTGCTGCCAACTATGAGCTTGCTTTTTGTTTTTCTTCTAGGCATGCAGAAGGCATGGTGGAAAACCGGAAAATTTGTCTACACTGTAATTTTGGATTGGAATGTAAGTCAAGTTTTTGGAAATAGGAAAAACAAAGCGATTGAAAATCTATTCTGTGTGAATTGCATACAAGTTGCGTTGTAACCGGTTGTGCTTTGTGGTAGTTCTCCTTTGATTCCGCACGAATGTTCAGATACTTAATTGCATAATATTGAGATTTATATTCTATGCTGTTTGTTCACAGTCTGTCAGGGAAATGTTTGCAAAAAGGGAAGCTAATCTTGTGTCCAAGTCCATGCAAACGGCATAGCGGTTGCGTTCGAAACGATATGAGATGGGAAAGCTTTCCCATAGGTAATAGAACGCTTCATTGTTACTTACGATTTGCAATTCTGTCATATACTTCTTCCACCAGAGGAATTTGGCGTAGTTTGGACCCATGGCGGACATCATGTAGTAGAAGTACATGCAAATGTGGACGAAATTGTTGAGCAGGTTGGGGAATGTTGCATTGCCACCTACGAGTAAAGAAAAAAATACACCCACACAAGTGTAGAAGGTTAATTACTTTTCCAATTTCGACTCGTCTCAATTGTTAAAACTTACCGGCAACGAATTTTACCAGGACCCATGTTTCCAATGGCGTTACAGAGTGGTGATACACATGCAACCAGGTGATTTGCGACGACTTCTTGCGGAGCACAAAGAACACTGTGTCGGCGAATTCAGTCAGCTTTGATAGGTAGTAAACATAGCAAAGGTTCAGCATCTGCAAGGAGAGAGGGGTATTAATGAGCGACTGTAAGTACAAAGCATTATCAATAGAATGGTTTTCTTGTCACACCGACGAAGAATCATCTCAAACCACTCATCAAATCTGAAAATGTGCGAAAATGACGTGAATAAACTGTGGGTCCAATTACCTCCGTGTTAAACATAGGAACATCGGTAAACCAATCTGTTTTAGTGCTGATAACGTTTTTATTTGTTTGTTGTTTTTTTGAACAAAGTCATCGTGTGGTGAGATTAAGAATACACACACATACTCACACAAACGTACATAAATGTAAACGCGCACTTCTATACTCATTACCAACCATGAACAAAAATGTCAATAAGATTGGCCACCAGATGTAGGTACGAGAAGACTTCGTTGTACATGCCTGTGTATACTGCATTCACAAACACACACACTCACACGCTGACACACACACACACACAAATGCCACAGTGTTTAGTCAGCCAGTTCAATAACAAAAATTGGTTAAACCAACTATCGGTTGGCTAGTTATGCAACAGCAACAACGACCTTCAGCACGAAAATTGTGCTTAAAAGAAAAACAAATAAAAACAAAACATTCTACGAATGAGGCAAATGTATGGATTGCTCGATTGGATTGGAAAACGGAGTGATGGCAGGCTAGTAAGCGGTGTTGCGTTCGTTGTTTGAGGAGCGGAAGTGCCCATGTCCGAGGGACGGCCATGCCTTGTTTTTCACATTCGACATTTCTGGGCTAGCCTGCTTGTGTCTTAAGTCTTTCGATATCGCACAACCGAAATAGAGAACAAACCAAATAAACGCCGAGAGCGCAAACAAATGGACGAGCTTGTCGTCCAGCAATGAAGTCATCTTCTGCATTGGACATTAAAATGCTTACATAACAAATAATGTGAATTGTTCTATTTATCCCTAACTGCCATGTGGCTCGATACTTTTGCTGGGTGAAGAATTGTTTGTGCTTTGAGCAAAAATGGACAATATCTAATCTAAATTAATGGCGGAACGCTTCACAGCGCAAGGTATTGCTAATAGTTTTTATTTGTATATTTCGCTTTCGAGGTGAGCTGATCTTAAAATAATCTGAAATTCTATGCTATCTGGCCTGAATGGGAAACGAAACCAGATTCGACCTTCGCAATATTTTGCGCATTATTTCCACAACAACTACATGGCTTCAAAGGCATGTATCTAGTTGGGCAAGGCATGCATCTAGTAGGGATTTGAGTTCCACGGACCGAATTCCAGCCGACCTCAGTTGTATTATCAATGATTTTATTTGTCTATTTCTCTTTCCAGGCGACTTGTTTTGTTTCTAAAATCTCGTATCGATCGATCATACGAATATTGTTTAAATTATAAAAAAAAAACAAACGAACTGCATATTGCGTCAATATCCAAACAAAAGTACAAATGACCAATGATCAACCAATTACAATTGCCTGTTGAAGTTGAAAAGTCTGAGGTGACAATCGGACGTTTGCCTTCCGTCTATTGCCTTTGTGGAAACGACTGCCGTTGCAGACAAACGATTTTGCTTTGTCATTTAGTTTTTTTTTTCATGGTTCGACTAAGCCCTGTGACAATTAAAGTACTAATAAAAAAGTGGTGTCCGCTTGGATAATGAGTCTTAAAAAATTATGAATAAAAGTTTATTGCTCCTTTGCAAAAGGAACGCTAGTTTGATCACATTCAATTCATCAAAGTTCGACCATTATTTTTTATTGGGGAGCTGTCATTTGGAAGCAACATGCACACTCTTCTTGCCTTATGCCCTGTATTGGTGGCCCTCAACGCTAAACAGTTACTCTTTTTTGTTTTTTGAATCCGTTTATGTTATAATGCCACATTAAAATAAAACTGATAGATTTCCTCAAAGTACAGAACATTATATGTTAATGCATTAGAGCCCTATGCTCCAAAATTGCAACCAAACGCGGTTTCATTGACTTCTTGGCGAGACGGCCAATCTTCTTCAAAGGAACAACATTTCACTTACCCGTTTTGACATTGGGCTATCCGAATAGTCCACTGGCTGACATTTAAGATTGTAATTCAGCCATCCTGCTACAAGATGCTAAAAATAGACAAAAATGAATGAGTTCGATTAGGAGTTTCTCAATGGTTTGTGTGGGGGCATCTCCCCCAAATGTTTGACATACCTCATAGAACATGTACGCACTGATGGCTACTTGGAATGCATTGTAAATGACCATGGTTCGTTTGAGCTGGAACGGCTTGCGATCACGCATGAAATACGGTCCTATCACCAGCACCCAGGACAAATAAATGCCGACCAAGCCGAATGTGTATAGCGGGTTTGACATCATTGGGAAACGATTGGATCGGGGATCTGCAAGGGGAAACTTACATTAAAATCGGCAGCTGAATGGTATGGCCAACAGAATTTGTGGTAAAAAAAAGTTCTAATGGACCGTTTTGGTTCTCTTTGGGATAGGTGGTTTAAATTGGAATTACACTTTTGTGTCCACCACCAACTAGGTCGAGCTTGGGGAACATAGGATTCGAGTACACTCATCTGTCCAATTGAACATGGCTAAAAAAGTTCGGCTCTGTTATACATGTTGTTGTTATTGTTCTTGTCGTTGTTGCTGTTGCGTAAGCAAATTTTGGGGATTTTGTTCGAAATACACTTTTCAGTTCAGGGGCAACTGTTTCGATTCGTGTTTTGGAAAAAAGGGAGAAGGGGCTTCACTTCACTTCAATTAGAGACTTGGTAATGAAAATAAAAACAAGAAATGCAAAACAAAAGCAACAACAACAACAGCCACAACAAGTAAACATTCACTTTAAATGTGAACGAATTTATTAAAGAGTGACTTTCAGCAGTTTATATTTCAGGTTTGCTGGTTCAATACAGCCAAGCCGATTTTTTTTTTGGCAAAAATGCAATGCAACTACGGTCACCGTACAAATGGTTCCTCTTCATCCGGTTTTAATACAAAAATATCTTGTATGTGGAAATGAAACAGCCACAGAGACTAAGATGCTCCTTTGAAGTCGATCTTCGATCTGTCAGCTTTGTTTTGCAATATCCCCAACACAAATGCAATGTTTATCTGTTGCTTGTCAGGCTTACTAAAATGGAGAAGATTCAATGCAGTTCTTGCTGTTGTGGTTTCCCACTGGAAATAGAAGTGTAGGAATTATGTCTAGATACACGTCGTTACAAACAACTTCCTCAGTTATTGGCGATTACATTTTTCCGGAATTACTTAAAAACTAAATCAGATGAAGAAATCTGAACTGGCTAGTTGCGTAAGCAGTTTAAGGAACATTTCGCTTGGATTAACACTCCAAGCCATGAGCATAGACTGAAGCAGAGTCAATTTGCAAATCATATTAAAATAATTAAGTTTCGATTTTAACTTGTTTTCCGGCTTTTTACTAAGACCTGGCCTTTTGGTCGTAATTGCTCGTGTGTCACATGGGGCACAATATTTAATGTCAATTTCTGTATTTTTCTACAATTGCAAACAACAAAAGCTACAACAACACCGCAATTAATTCAGTTCCCTAAACAATGACTATTTTAAGAAGAAGACTAAACACACGCTTTATGTTCGTCGTTCGACATTTAAACAATGGCAAACAATAGTAACTCCATAAATGATGTTCAACTAGGCATTCGTTTGTTTGTTCGTTCGTTCGTTCATTCGTTCGCTTAACCGCCTAATGCGTACCAACAAATATGAATATGAACCACGTTATAATGAGCTACCCCCACGGAGGAGGGGGCGATCGGAGAGGTGCACGTAGCTAGTTAAATGTAATTAAAACCTTTTTTGTTTTATATTTCTCTCTCTAAAAACGCTTTAACGACAATCATAATTGTCTGGAAAACAAAATCTAAAGCAAAGCACAGCACAGCACAGCAGCAGATCTAAAGAACATATCATAGCCGCTGACATTGGCAAGGTTTCCTTCTTTTTTGTTGTTGTCGTATACGTCTTCAAGCAATGATGTTTGTGGGTTCACTTAGAATTCGGCTATTGTTGAATTACTTCTGAGGCTAGATACATTTCGTACGATTAGACTAATTTGTTTGTGATTTGGGGGGACTTTGAAAATAAATGCTTCCACCCGGCACCGGGGCATTAGCACAGCAGAGCACATTCGCAAATTATAAGTCAGGCCACAAATAGAAAGAGTGTAGTCTACAAATATGAAGGGTATAGCATATATGTTATTTGATTCTTCATGTCTTCCTTGGATCCACTGGGGTGAGAGACCCGTGAGACCCCAAATTTTGTTAAATGTTTCCTTAACGAATCTAAAATTTAAAATAACGAAATCTGATTTTTATTGCAATTACATGGCCGATTACCAATCGCCAAGACCCAATTGCGTCTCTATATAATAAACACCAGTCTAATAGTTATGCATTCAAAATTGATTATTCCGATATTATCGTCGTGTTGTTTACACCAATGATAACTGGGAAAAGTTTCCGTTTCAAAGTTTACATCCATCGCCAGTACTTAGAATGGTGATTATTACTTAATGTCCGTTATTAGCACTTGTTATTGGCACTCGATCGCATACGGGTGATCTTAATCAATTTACCCCTGATAACGGCGAATGGAATTCCCCTAACTTGTATCCGCAGTTCGTTTACTTTAATTGCCACCGTGGTAAGCGGACGTGTAATTGAAAAAGAACAATTATTGCTAATCATATTGGAGGGCGGGCGAGAAATTTCTTCCATTCTCCTATAGCTAGGCAGACACAACACACAAACACACACACACCTGCAATTGCATGGCGTAATAAACGTATTTGCATTATGAAATATTGAATAAAACTATTAATTATTAAATAAATCAAAACATTTCGATCGGTGGAGACAGCGTTAAAATCTGCAGGTGAAATTCGCACTGATGGCGCCCAAGTGATTAAATGCCGTATTGAAATGCCAACATTGACCTTGTTACTAAATTAGCTGTGCGTCGGTGCCATCAAGAAGAAGAAGATCGACTCATGTCCAGCAACCTTTTGAATTGGTTTGCTGAATGGCTTGGTGCAATGCAAGCATAAACATGAATGTGTTAAGGGACAAATATGACCATTTAATACACATATGGATCAAGGGTTACCTTTTTGAGTCGCCAGATGAGAAATATTTTGTGTTCCTTCTCATATTTCAGTTTTATCTATTACCGGTCTATTTTCTTAAAACTTTATTTCCTTCGTGTGGAAACTGAAAAATTGAGAAGTTGACCATTCTTATGCCTAACTGTTGCACATCCCAGGAACGTATGCAATGTGGAGGGGGAGGGGGGGGGCACCATGATTCCCAAATGATTACTGTTTTGATAGGCTTGTACTATTTCTATGAAACATTAATTTTTTCTCCGAAATATTTTGAATAGTCTTGTACGCGTACGTCTCTGGCACACACGTACATATGTGCATTCTCGGTAATCCCCATTAAAGCAACGAATTGACAATCGAGCAAGTGTGTTTAGCAAGTGTAAGGCTGAGAAAACTAGTTTTTACTGTTTTTCTTTTTTTACTTCAGCGACAAATCTTTCCTGAGTACTTTGTGAACAATTGTAAACAAGCTGTATCTGATCGGAACTATCCGAACGTTACGCCGTGATACAGGTTCGGAGGCAAAGGGAAACTTCACATTGCAGATCCGATCGCGTTCGACATATCATACTTACCGCCGTAGTCCTCCTCCACCAGGTAATAGTATCGCTGCATTAATCCACTGAAGTTCTTTGTCACGTAATGCGATTTGAATTCCTCGATGGCGATGTGGGCAATCTCCGCGGCCATGTCAAAGCCTGATGTAATGTTTCTGTTCATTTTGAGGGAGTTTTGTTTTTGTTTTCTTTTTGGTTTTGTATGGGGTTGCTTGGATGGAGCAAGTTCTTGAGTTTATTCGGATATTTTTCTATTTCAACTCGAATGAAATAAAATAGCACAATTCAATTCAATTCGATTCGATTCGATTCACAATTCGAGTGGTTTCGTCGTCGCTACAGTATTCAAAATTTGTTATAATTTTCAAATTGTAACGTATGCTATGAGCACATTATCACTTCTTGTGTTATTGTTGTTGTTATTGTTTTGAGCAGATTGTTTGTTGTAAGTGTTGTTGAGAAACAATCCCGTATTGGAAATGTTTGCGCTTTTGTAATCCACTTCGGGCGATTGTTTGTTTTGCAATGACTGTTTGTTCGCTGCTCGGTTCCGTTCTTTGTTGCCTGATTTACAACTCGATCGTTAATGTGTGTTTTTCATGTTTTGGAAACGATAATTATTTTGTTCAAGTTTTATCGGAGGTGGGCTTCTTTGCCAAACCGAACCGTACGAATTTTTATGCTCAACTGACTCCTAAACTTCTCAACCTGCATAAGATAATATAAGTTTTTGAACAACGATCAAGACGCAATCTGGTAAAGACAACAACACCAGCACACTAGCTCACACATACACCGACACAGGGGTGCACGAAGCCAAGCTCAGATTGTAGAATAAAGACACCGCCAGCACAGCGCTCAGCCGGCTTCGGAAATATCGATCATAACAATAATCACAGCCCAAGCGACAGTCAAGCACGGCCGAAACGAGCCGGCAGAGGCACATCTACAATGTGCCGACGAGGTGGTAGCAGAGCAGAGCAGAACACAGCGAAGAGTGACAACGTTTACGTCGACAGTGGTTGTCATTCATTCTTTCCTTCATTCGTTCAATAAAGCAATGACTTCGAAAACCGAGGTGACGTTTCGAATTGAGCCGAAACCAAATATAAGCTTTAGAAAAAAACCAAAACCGCACACACAAACATATGCTCACGCGCACACAGCCACTGACAGAGTCTGAGGCAGACGAATACAAATACGAGTGCAGTTAAAAGTTCTTTTGAATTATTAATGAAAAGCTTTACCTTGCTTCTCCTTTGGCTAGAATGTGCGTCAAGAAGAAATCCTTGTGAACGTGTGTGTGTGTGTGTGCAGTTACCTGTTAGTCTGTGGGCCGGCGCGACATCAGTTGATCACATCTCCGCGGTCAACCTTTGGACCTATTGATGGCTGTCATCGATGAAAAAGAGAAATACCAACAGTAAATAACAAACACAAATGCGGACATAGCTGACATTGTGTTCGTTTGCGAATGTGGACCAATGAAAGAGGGGAAGTACAATGAAATCGGAAGATATTCAATGAATACGGAGGCAAGTCTACGACAAGCTGCAAGAATCTGTGTAAAATAGAGATGAAGTGGAAGAAAAAAATCCGTTTGAATACGATGAAGGTCATCAATATTTCTAGCTTTTTATTTGCCGGATGAATGATTTCATTGTCGCAATGGGTCGAGAAATACAAAATACTCTACTTAGAAGTCAGCCTTTCGATTCTGTGTCGGCAGAATCACGGACAGTTGCCGGCAAAAATGGGGGGATACTTTAAAGGGATTAATTCGAATTCTGAATACAATTTAAAAATGGCAACAAGCTGCCTCTTGGTCTGGAAGTTTTTTTAAGCAAACAATCATTCAATACTTTCACTCAAATTAGTGATTTCCGTACTCCCAGTGCTCCCAGTTGATTCCCCACATAAAAAGCATCTTTGCGATTATTCTCCACGTCAGCTTGACTTGCGTCAGTTTTTGCAGGTCATCGGCAGTTCTTCGTTTGGGAACCAAACAAAAAGTGTATTCGAAAATGATTTGGGATATTGAAAATTCGTTTAATATGAAAATGTCTTCGAAAACACTAAAAAATGTAAATCTAACACGTGTTGATATGGAATACGATTCAATCGTGTGAAGTGATTAAAATGTCCCAATATGTATTTGCAACAGGGATCATAATAGGGGTTGGATTGAATTCAGGTTTGTACCGGTACTAGAAAAGGAATTCCGGATGCATTAGAATGCGGAATAAGGATTTTAGCCACTAAATCTCGATCTCGGTTAATCAGGAATCTGTTTGGGAATCGATTTGACCGAATCTTTACAGACTTTCAATCCAAAATTCAATTAATTCAACAAATGTAGCATGGTTGTTGCTTATGGGCGAAATGTATATTGGAATCGTTCGAATCGTCTGGAACATATATGTGGGTGCCATTACTATACCTCAAGTGATATTCTCCGAAATCTGTGACCATAGAAAATTGACTTTGCTATTTTTGTTTCCATTACAAAATATAGGGATAGTAGGATGCGTGGGCATACCAAAGCGACTCCAAAAATAATTCTATAATGAAAGTATATCTTGACATTGTCATCTAGTTACAAAGGTTCCCAAGTGTATATCATACTTTTTGACCTATACTTCTGAATTCCTCAAGGGAGTACATGGTGCCTGCAAATATTATACAGAAATTTCTTTCTCAACGGACCAGATAGTTTTATTCAACGTTCTAAGAAAACTATAAACATTTTGTCCATATTAGCAAGGGAAAGAAATGATAATGGGCCAAAACGATAATTTATTCTAAAAATATCAGTCTCGATAAAATAACTCTCAAAATTCCTCTCTTGCATCGCTCTCTTCGGCAAAAACTTTTGTCTTAACAGACGATTTCCGGAAGCAATTTGCAAAGAGTTGTTACAAATTAAACGGATATGCTTTGTATTTTCTTGCACCAAAATTGACACAAACATTTTGACTATTCGAAAAACAAAACCCCAATTCATAGAGTTCTTATGAAAGTCTCGTGTATGGGAGTTCAGTTTTATTTGCCTTCCTAGTCTAACAATCCACTCTGCGTCTCAATTCATTAACTTGAACAAGTAAGCAATCTGATATCCGTACAACACTATGCTACAACACTCTAATGGTCTAATTTGTGATTTCGCCGGGATTAAAAATATTTGCGGCTTAGTGGAAATGTTCGTATTTTTATACCCTCAGTCATATGTCCGTACTGCACAGAAAGAGAATGTATAATCCATTTAGCTCCAACTTTCCAAATCCTGATATATTCATCAGTCAAATTTGAATAGTTATAGCTCTTTTCAAATATGAAAAAACTCAGATTGACTTCAAGTTGCGCGCATAACAATACTTTCATTAACCCAAAGGGTCTAAATTTTGAGTATCCATCAAGCTCATAAAACGATAAATTAATATCCATTCAGACTTGGTACATATCAATATTTCCATGAACGCAAAGTCTGTTGTAAATATGGTAGATATCGTACCATTACTTCTGGAACCTCGCCCATAGAGTTTCAAGATTTTCAAAAAGAGAACGCTCGAAATAGGCATCCAGCTCTTCTCAAATTTCAGACATGCAAATATTTTTACTATCGCAGGTCTGTTGTGAAGATTATATATATCTGCGAACCCCTTCTGGTACCTAACTTATAAAGAGGCACTATTTTCAATCCTTTTATCTGTCATAATTTGCGAAATAAGTCAGCAATTCTTTTCAACTTCCGATATCTAAATATTTCTCTCAACGAGAAATCTGAGATGAATATGGCATTTATTGAAAATTATTATTTCACATACCGATATTTTTATCGTAGATCATATAAAGTAAAGGAAGTAGTCGATATAGTCCAAATCTAGCACGTTGTAATATTTATATCAGTCTTATACGAATCGGACAATATTGGCCAACTGCATCGGAACCTTCCCCATTAAAGGTCAACAGTGTGAATAATCATAACCCAAGGCTGGGGTATACATCTGTCGGCAAAACCTGCTGATACTATTTTACTTGTTTACATAAAAGTTTAGGTTTATTTTACCTGCTGAATATTGTCCGATGATCATCGGAATTGGTAGAAATAAATTGGTATATAGTTGTGGCCTAAAGAGCATCAGGAAAATCAATATTTTTTGCTGATTTTGGTCCATTTCAACCCTCCTAAACACAAACATTAGTATGAAGAGACGTACGGATGGACATACATAGCTAGATGGGCTCAGCTCAGCGTATATAGTTTCCTATGTCGGGAACCAGTATTCGAGGTCTTACATAATTTTTGAGCCATTCAAACTTAGTGTTGTAGGGTATGAAAACGGCATACAATTTGTTTTTTTTTTTCGAAAATAAGCAAGAACAAGTTAAAAGGCTAGACTTCGTAGATCCCGGCAACAGAATATATTCAAATAATTTACTTTCAACCTCAATATGTATGCTTCATAACGAAATAGTTGCAAAATATGTCTGTACGTGTAAATGACCATCTGCCCCAAATACATGTGTGGCAAATATATCTGTTTATGGTTTTGTTACTGCAAACTGGTTCAAAACGTATGCATTTGGAAAATGTAATACGACACACACCAACCTCTGACACACCGCTCTACGTTTTCATGCGTATCCTCGAATATTGATCAGTCATCTCGTCGAAGGACAGAGTTTCAGTCGGCCACTAATTACCCTCGTCTAAGTGTTTGTTTACATCCTTCGTCTGAACGACATTGATCATGAAACCAACTTTATTTTGGGTTCGCTAATATCGACATTAAGCGCCATTCTTGCTAGCCTTAGTCTAATTAACCTCTTCCAATTATTTGGCTGTCACAATCATGCGCAGATATTGATCTTGGAACGCCGGCATCACAGTGCCTTTCCTTTACGAAATTTCGTAATGTTACAATCAATGTCACACTGACGAAGCAACAGAATTATTCGTCGAAATAGGAACCTTGTCATTAAATTGCCAACGTGCTGTAATTATCGGCAGTTGATGTAGTGAATTATTCAAAGTGTCCGAAATAGACCAATTAAGAAGTACACATGGCCAGCGACTGTGGCCTAAGAATATTCAACAAATTGTTAAGTTAAGCGATACATTATAGCGCTTAGCCGAAAGACAGCAGCACTTAACCTGTTAGCACTTCCAAGACAAGTTCTACCCCAACAGAGGCATGACATACTCGTATACGTGTGTGTGTCTGTTTGTTTGTGCGAATGAAAATAATCCAAGTGCTTCTGGGTATTTGTGGTTAAGACCTCACATGAACGCAAAGACCCATGCAATGTATATATATGTGTGTGTGTGTGTGTTTGGGTCTGTCGGCAACACAACAAATTGAAGCCATTGGCCAACCGCCGGAATGTCCATTTGTTAATAATCTCTTTGCTGACTTTGAAGAATATTTCGGTAGCACTTTTTGTAGTCGTTATTCGCGAAGGTTTATGATAACTCTGACATTGATTCTGGGGCAATAAAGCATAGAAATTGTTATCACAAAGAATGGCAATGGCTTTCCAGTGTTAAGGGACAAACGTATGCGCATACATTCCCATACATACATACATATATACACGAATGCGTACAAAATTGTTTTCGAATAGAACTTTTATCATGTTTGTGTCTTAAGTCTTTCGTTTTGAACAACATGTCTAACATTGTTTTGGTTTTAGAAAAGGGTTTCAGTCGT